TTGTTGGTTGAAGAGCACAGTCTGATCTAAACAGAATTATTCATTATTTGCGAATTTGCAAGTACAATTAGCGCGCAAATTGCACGCAAGTTCATCAACTTCCTTGGGCAGAACCGACGACGCATTGAACCAACATAACAAACCAGTACACGCAGCGCATTAGTTGGTCTCTATACCTTCGGTGATCCGGATAACTCCGAGTGCGTTTCTCGCGCGCGCGCGCGCGCCTCCTGAAATTATGCAAAGCGTTTTCCAATCCGCCGCTGCACATCCCGATCCGGACACACACCTATCTGCACGCCTCCCTCGTCGACGTCGTCGTTAAGCGCCGCACGGCAAGCGTTTAATTAAACGAATTGGATTTACGCTCAAAAGCTAAACTATTCCAAGCGCTCGGAAACTCCTTCGCTCACCTTCACATATATACATCCACACACAACTCTCTCACGAACTCAGCTCAACCTTCCCCACGAGTTATCTGCTTCTTCTTTAATAATAATGCTCGATGGCAGCGGATTATTAACGTTATAGGTATTTTCTATTATGGATCCGGTACGAAGCAATTAGGTAATACGGCTTGATTTCCTTCTCGTGGCGGGCGAATTCGATTCGCGAAACGTGCGACGAAAGAGGGAGAAACGGTAAAAATATCATTTTGCTGAACGGTTGAGGTAATTCAATTACAGTTGATCCGAGAGACCTGCGCGTGCTCCTGATATTACTGCAACAACTGTGTTGCACAAGTAAAAGTTTGACTTTTCCAAAAGGACAATTTTTATTTCACCGGATTAAATTCAACTCGAAACGTTTAGCGAATAAGCATTTTTTAAATTTAAATTTAATTCAGTTTATGAAACAACTAGCTTTTGCCCGCGACTTCGTCCAGGTAGTGTTTAATAAATATGTAATTCGTTTTTACTCTCTTGTTATAGACATAGTATTTGTCAATTCTATCACAATTTTATTAAAAAAAAATTAATGATATAAAGAATTGCTTATAATGCACTTCAGCGCGCCATCTCGGATTCAATTATTTAACTATAACTATGATTGAATCTCAATGCCAACTTTTATCCTATAGAAAAGGGCTGTCTTTAGGGTTTTCCCGGCAATTATTCGAATTTTTCTCGTGGTAAAAACCATCCTTGGACTTTAACAAACATTTAAAAAAAAGATTTGGCCAAATTAGTCTTAGCATTGTTGAGTTATGCGCTTACCAACATATTTTACTATTCATTTTTATATTATAGATGCATTGTAGTTCATATTGTGAATTATATTAATTGAAATATGTTGAACGCGGTGTAAATCAACGAACGTCGCCATAACTTTTGGTAAAACATTATCATCCCAGCGGCGTTAAATGATGAAGAAACAAAGTAACGTGCATTCGGGCGGGTGTTAATTTAAAGCCGCCGATTATTATATAAAACGTAATAATTTACTGCGGGTGGTTTTCGGCGTGCCTTTTCTATTACACCAACGAATCCGACGCACCGCACCACTTATTCCGCCTTTCCGTTCGCGAGTCGGACCTTCCTCGCGGCTCTCTTTCCGTGTGCCATTCATAGTCCTGCCTAATGGACCGGCGATAATTACTTTACGGAAAACGGCCCTCGGTTCTTCCCATTGCCTGCGCCGGCCGCTGGGGGATTTCAACAACATCAATAATAATTATAAATCTTCACGCACTCGTTTTCGGTGCGCGCCCTCGTCGTTCTTATTAAATAATTACGCTTGATTAGAGTTTGATTGCTGCGCGCAAGTTCGACCATCCATTGCCATCCAATTTTATCTTCATTTCCGCATCTTGCTTCCTCTTGAATTACGATGCGGCCAACGACTATGTTCATTGTAATGCACTTATCAGTTTATATAATTTTTTTTGCGCTTAAAAATTGATTGTGTAATTTTTTTATGCGCTGTTGTAATGCGCGATTAATAAGTGTGAGAGTGGTTGGAAGCGAGGCCGCACCTTTTTATGCGTCTTTTTTTTTTGTCTTTGTGAAGGGGGTGTACGTTGGCCAGTGACAATTTTCGCTCGGCGTTTTGCCGCGGCGGCGGTTTTAGTGCCGCATTAAGCGAGCGTGTTGTGCTCTCTTCTGGGTAGTTTTATGTGGGACCTTTTTTCTTTTTTATTTTCGCGTTATGCACACGGCGCGAGGTTCATTTACATTTTTCAAGCAAGCGGACCGTTTAGTGGGGGTGATTTTGGGTTCTAACGGACGAATTAAGCGGTTTATTATTTATGATAAGGCACTCGAAAAATGCTATCAGTTTTTTTTAATATTTTATATTAAAATATCCAACTTTATTGAATTAATATCATCGTAGATTAATAACAGTATCATTTTCTTGTATAATTAATATTTACGTATAGAATTTATGCAAATTTCAATTTTTTATACTTCTGTTATGATCGCAGTCGGATATGTAAACGCGAGTAACACAAGAACAGAATGTACCTCAACATAGTTATGCATAATGAGTTCATTTACATTTCGCCGTCAAGTATCATTTGCTGATCCAATTTAAAGTTTCAACAGACGCGTTAAGCGGTTTTAGCGCTTGATAAAGCGCTTTAAAATGTTATCGATTTAATAATACCGTCTTAATATTTAATTACACGCCATTTGCGTCGCGCAGAATGTGAAATATTAACAAAAAACGAGGTATAAATGCAAATTTATGCGTTTGAATAAAGAAAAAATCCAACCCTGTCGAATGAAATAGACTTGGGTTGACTGACATTTAGGGTCTGCCAAAAAAAAAACAACATGCCGTTACGGATCATGTGATGAGCATCGATGATGTTCGAAAATTAATTTTTATATTTACTGACATATTAGAAGGCGGCTCACGGTCTAGTGATAAGAAGGCGCTACTTCATTTTTTTCCTGGCATGAAGGAGAAGCCCCATGTCCGTGGAGTGTAATAGCAGAATCGGCGATGATGAAGGCCATCATGGCCATAACCAGCATAACCGGCAAATAACTTTTGACATATCGGGAGAACCCGCTTCAGAATATCCGAATGGGATCAAGAAGTTTTTTAATTGAATTTATGCCGGTTGATCGATGCCTCGACGCGAGGCGCGGAGGCGCCTGCCGCCCGGCTCCTCCGCCATTCCATTTCGGTTCAAGAGGGACCTGCATTGTCTCGGCTCGCTTAGGCCTTCGCCTTCCGAACGTCAAGAACCGCGGGCCAGCATAAAGCCGGCATAATCCATTAACCTATTGATCACATTTAATGCGACCCACGGCTCTCTCCTCTCTCCACTAATACATAAGTAATTAAGGCGCTTAATTGTATTAATTAAACAATTTAGGTATTTACTTTGCAACTTTCAATCATCGATGTCGTGAATATTTGTTTCTCATAGAAAGCAGAAACATCGTGTCTTCCGTTAATTAGACGGCTGTTGAAAAACATTTCTTTGGGTTTAATTTATTTAAAGGAAAGGACAAATAGTCATTTAATTGTATTTGGTATTCGAGAAGACAGTCGCCGCTCATAGTTTGCGTGCAGCCTTCAGTTGGCAAAGTCGTGAAATTTGTTTTTCTGTTTTGCATTGCGCGCGTTAATTAAATTAAAGGTGAATTTGGATGCCGCTCTCGCTGAAACGTCAGCGCGGGCACAACGAGGTGGAAGCACATTTTCAAAGTCGTGAATAAATTTCTGATGTAACTTGAACCGTGACCAATTTTGGTTTTGGCTGAACAAAGAACTTTTACCGTAAAGTTTATAATGAACATTCAGAAATATTCAACTTTTATTACAAACATTTTTAAATTACAACTAAAACAACATCGTTTGCCCAGCAACAAAATCAATTAATTCACTCTGGAAATAACTGGGTACGTAGATGCAGTTTGTAGTAATCACTAACTTTAACTTGTTTCCATGTTTCCAATTTGCGCACAAACTTGTTTTACAATTCACAAATCAAACACTCACAAACTTATGAGTGTCAATTTATTTCCGAATAACATTGTTAAAATATTACTTTTATCAGTTGCGCCGGCACACAAATAATTGCGGATAACATCAAATGATATATTATTCGAAATTCGGTCACCAGTCGTGAATATTTTTTGATTAATTTTCATTTTTTTTGTTAGATAAATATTATTTATGTTCGAGGTGTTTAAAAATTAGCGTGGAATTTTAAAGAGTTTTCACCGGAAGTGAAACAAAGAAGATGACGACTGTAATTAAAGAAAATTATGAAAATTTTCGGCGAAAATACGCGTCGGACCGACTGTATCAATATTGTACTTTCCACCGACTGCTATTCAAACTTCTGACTTTGGCCAAAAACTCCAGCTGTTACACCTTCCTCCCCGCCCATCAATCAAATCAAATTAAATCAAATATTTAAATTTTTTCGCCGCCGCCACGCAGCTGCGCCCCAAAGACTACGGCCGAAACTCATTTATTTATTTACATTACAAATGAATGGCGCCGCCAAAAATTCGTTAATTGCTTTACGCAAGAGAAGAAAACTTTGCGTTTTATTTCATTTCGCTCGCTTTGAGTTTGGACACTTGACGTTGTTGCTTTTTGCTACACACAAAAAAACATAATCATTTTGAAAGCCGTGCATATTTTTTTATAATTATATAATTATCAGTTGCGGGGTAATTTGGAAACGTCGCGTTAAATCGATGACGCAATTAAATACGAATACATCATTGTAGAAAAGTTTTGCGTGGCGCGTTGCGGTTTGAAGTCTCTAGTTAGATACAAATCGCAGTTTTCCCTTGGTAGCTCGGTTTGCGTTCAGTTAAGAAAATGTTACCTACGAGGACACATCGTAAAGTATCTTAATGCGTGTCAAAAGAGATGAAAAATGAGCGAATACGATAAAAAAGCGCTCCAACAAAAAGCAACTTTATGTGTGACGCTAAAAACAACGCAATCCGGTTATTAATTATTAGGTAAACGCAAACAGAAACAATTTACGGAGTGAGAAAAAAGTTTTATTTAAATTTTGCTACCTGAGCGTTTGTTTCGTTGCGAATGGCCACCGGCGATTTATTCCAAACACAGCGTGTCGCAGCACTCAAAGTCCGAAAGTTCATCGCCAACAACTAACACACACTCTCACACAAGGAAATCGGAAAAGTTTTGCGAGTTTTTTGCTCGACGCGTGTCGTGTGCGCGCTCACACGTGGACTCTCCGCTGTGCGAACATCATAACGCGAAAGCGTCGACTGCGAGCTTTCCGCGCTCGCTGGCGGCGTCGGAGCGCCACCACCGTCGTGGAAAGCTTGCGCGCGCTTCGGATTTTCCGACGCCGACGCCGCCGACTATGCTCTGATTTTCATGAATACCTAACGCAATTATTTTATAATCACTGCAGTTTGTTTACCGTATTTCACAATTGAAATTCAAATTGGTTTATTAACGACGGATGCGAAGGCAGCGAAGAGTTCACCACTTTTTTTGTTTTATTTTTCTGCCTGGAAAAAATACATTTGAGATTGAAACATATTGCAAAGATGGTTTGAGTTAAGCTGATTTATTTCATAGTTTACGTTTGCTGGCTTGTTCAAAAGTGTAAACTGAAAAGCATAAAGCTAGGCACACATAGTAGTTGCAACTGCTCGTTAGATGTTGCGCTGTTACAAATAAAGTTAGTGTCTTTTCTTTTGTGCGCCGCTGCCGCCGCCACCGCCGCACAAACCCTCAGCGTCGTATCGCACTGTTTAACCGGCTTTGCTCGTGGGTGGAGTGCCTTTGTTCAAAAAGTTCTCGGCGTTCTTATTTAAGTATTTTAGTCGCGGTGCACATACGAAGCATGTGCGCCGCGGTGGCGGGTGGGATTTGCCCTGCCGCCGAACTAAAGCTAAACTTTGTATATTCAATAATCTGCTGTTCAAACCCGAACTAATGCATGCGTTTGTTTGTTGCTAACCTCATGATGGAAAATTAATGAGTATTATTACTCAGTCACTGCTATAATCTGACAATTTTTAAATTAAATTTTGTTTTACAAAGTTTTAATAGCACGAGATTGATTAAGAGCGAGCTTAGGAAGCAGTTAATCAATAGAGTGTTTAATAACGTTTAGCCACGTGATACTTATGCTATTTTTTCTACTTTTATTTTATTTCCACGTTGAAGTTTTTAAATTTTTGTATTTTAATTTTTTTAAATTGCACTCCGTAAGCAAATGCGCAGGCGCAAGCTCTACCCCGTGACTAAAGCCCGTGACTAAAGTACTTTAGTCATTGTTTTAGCCGTCCATGTTTAAATTACCACTTTTTATGTCTCAAAACCATGAAAAACCTGGAGTTTTAAAGGTGGAAGTAGAAAAATTAAATTTTTGTATTACAAAGTTTTAAAAATATGTTTACCAGCTGATAGAAATTAATATTAAATTAAACTAAATTAAAAAGTGATGATACACGCTGCAGTGATTTAATAAATAATATTTATGCATGCAGTTTATGACGCAATAAAGGAACATGCCATAACACATTATGCGTTGTTCTTGAAAGAGCATAATTTAATTTATTTTCATAAATTTTTATTAAACCTTGCGTTGCACTGCGGGCAGTCGCCGTCGTTTACGTAATAAAATCGAGCGAATGGCATAATAGCAGTGTGGTAGTAAAACTAAATTAAATTTATTTGCTTTTGTTTTTGATGCGCTTGTAAATTGTGCGAAAATGTCGTTTTTATTGACTGCGTCAAGATTATCAGCCAGCACGACATTTCACCTTTCCAATTATTACACTTGAGATTTTAACTTACTATTCATTACCAAACATAAATAATTTAACGACGATTGCGAATTGCGATAAAAATCCGAAAGACGCTTGGCGTTTCGCTATGAATGATGCAGAAAAGCGAATCGAATTAAAGCGCTCCCGCCTGCAGCGAAATCGATTTGACGGATTAAGTCCCAAAGTGATATTGACAATTCGCACAACAATCAACGCGAGAAAGAAGAAGCGAAAGGAATTAACAAAGGGAACTCATCAATTTAGAGAATAGGTTCGAATCGCTGGCGTTTCTTTTCTACTCTCGGCGTCGAAAAAAACACCGATTAGATCAAGGTGATAATTATAAGGATTCATCGGAAGCAATCACAAATTAGATATCTATTGAGGAAGTTCTCATTGATTAGATTTTGATTGTGTATACATACAGGGTGTTCCCGGAATGAAATTATTGGTAACCAGTCAAAATAAGTGGTCTTGTTTAAGTTTATAGACAATAAATGACGGAGTCGTTGTTGTGGCATTTTGTTTTAGTACTTCTTGTTCTTGATGCCTCGTAACGGGCCGGAAACTTGGAGACAGTTTATCTTGCAAACTAGCGCGCTTGAAGCACACTCGCAAAGCCAGCGGCATCAATGAGAAGAGTAGCAAACTAAACAATTGTTTTACTTGTATTAGCTACATGTTGCTGGCTGCGCTGGTCCCCGAAACCCACTCCTGTTAGCCGACCGACACCGATTCGTATTTTATGCTCGTCGTTACGAAGATCGCCGTATTGGAAATGTCATTAAGCTTACAAACTTCCAGCGCGCTGCAGCAGTTCTGCTCTAGCATTCGGAGATAAATTTTAGCGTGTGTCGTAAAACGCGTCGCCAACCTCCAAATGAAACAAAAGAATCGATTTAATTTGCAACAGTGCGCTGAATAAACGCTGAACAATCCGTCAGCGCAACGACAATTCCATTTGATTGCGATGAGGCGATAAATGTATGTAAGTGTATGGTGTGTGTGCATCTTCTCTTGTTAGGGGGGTGGATTGAAGTCGACTCGAGGGGTTGGCCAAGGCCGCTGGCTTAATCGCAACGACGACTTCGGATCGGAGAGAAAGTTAAACACCAAGCCGTCGGAACAAACGAAGGCGACTCGTGTTGGCGTTTTGCACCGGAGGCCAGATTTATGCGACTGCACATTGTCGCGGATTTGGAAGTTCGCGTTGAGCTCGTTTGTCGCACTTTCCCGAATAGCGAAAAGCTTCCGCGTTGCATCTCATTCTTTGAGTGCGGCGCGCAACCAACTACCAACTGCGAATGTTACTGAGACGCTTCCAATTTGACATTGATTTATTAGCGGCTCCTAGAAACACGACGAAGTAATCATTTGCATAATGAATTAGAATTTGTTTTCGTCTAGTTTAGAGAGTTGATCTGCAGTTAATTCATACTTTATTTCACTCGAAAAACATGTTGGTGGAGAATTAGTGGAACAAACTAGAGTGGAGAGGTGTTCAGGAGCGCGGGTATAACTAACCTCCCGGCACAAATCATTCGCGACACCGAAATTAGCCTATCTTCCACATAAACAACTCACCTCGACCTGGTATCAAGCGTGCGGCGCCCCCAGTTGGCAGCTCTTCCCTGATAATTGATACAATTCCAAAATGCAAGTTTAATGTGCGCGCATGCAAAATACGCGTTACAATTACGACAACTTACACCACTATATCCCAACTATGGTATCGTTATCTCTTGATATCCATTCCACCTCTGTCGATTATAAAATATGTTTAATTTTAGTGTTGAGTGATAAAATGTATGTTTAAGTGATAAACGAAATTATCGCTCGACTCTGGTCATTAATATCAACTTTTAGCGGTTGTATAAGAATAATCACGTGATGATAACGTGCTGGTGCTGGGATGTAAAACGTAAAATTATAAAATATCTACATACATAAAACCGGCACGACTTAAAATCGCGATATAAAATCACACGACTATTTTTACTACGTCGTAAATAATCCATAATCGAATGGGAATTGATAAATAAAATGCAAACATTGCGCTGTGGAGACTTATTGGGGCGCGCAGATAGTTTCAGCGGCAGTAGGGGGATGAGGCGGCAGTCGCGCAATTGCTTTCGAGTAATTGCTTTTCCCATCGCAGGCGCCCGCCCGCATGTGTGCACATTTGGTCCTTGCTCGCGCCGCCACACATCAAGCGCCGGATAATGACGTCGCCGGGCGCGTCCGAACGGAATACGGCTGGCATTTAGCAATCTGTCGATTGTCCTACCAGCCGGACATCAATCAAGGGGAGGTGTTTTTCAAGGGTCAAGGAGACTCTTATCCCTCTGCTACCTTGTGCGGCGATATATTGATAACAGTCGCCTGTGGGTGAGGAAATAATTCAAAGCATTTTAAACGTTTTATAACGTGAATAAAATTATACGGCGTTATTTTATGGCTTTGTGTGCTGTGTGCGTGTGCTGAATGCAGGCCGTAATTGCCTGCCGAAAAACGAATAAACGCACGGAGCGAGTAAAAAATTGCGCGTCAGCTTTCGCGGCCATTCGACAAATGTCAGTATTGCTGGACAAAGCGTTTGGGAACACTCGGTGAGTGATAGATACGCAATTGAAGACCCCGAACCTCCAGACCCCAACACAGTCCGTCATCTCATCGTCCTCGTTCGCTGATATTAAATTACGTCCGGACAATGTGATGTCACGATTGTACCTTTCCTATATACCGTTTCCGTATCTGATTCGACCCGCCAACGCACACACATCCAAAATTCACTCTACCTGAATTTATATTTTGAGAGAGATAATTTTCTGGTGTTTTACTATCTTATCCGCCACAATTACATCAACTGCACTCTGCGTTTGGTTTGCAAATTCCTACTTGAGTTCGCAATCGAAGAGTGCTTTACGCGAAATCAAACAAATATACATTGTTTATGCGCCCGATGAACACAATTCGACAAATAGACGAATTTGAAATGCAACGGGAAACTTGGATAAAGTAACAGAGTGCACTTTCGACCGCACATGCTGCCGACTCATGCAACATTCATCGTAATGGCGAGCAATAATCTGTATTAAATTTAATAGGCGCGCCACTAACGCCTGCATTGGCTGCAACCAGTGTTGCTGTGTTTTCCGATCCGCGTTGATGGAGTTTGATCAGTGGGTGGACTAGTTCGTGATAGTCTGGCTGCTGCCGCGCGCTTAACCTAAACTCATTACTCTAACGGTTGTAATAAATATCCGATGCACTCCTGCTTAATAATAACCGACGCAGGACGGCGAGTGGTGAACGCCGCCAGCCATAGATCCCTATTTAGCTGTATGAATTTATTGATTGTCGCTCGAGATTAAATTGGGCATCGGGAGAAGTTTACAATGTGGTATTGCTGGAGCTATACCATCTTGTGTTTGTTTCTACAACATTTTTGCAAGGTATTTTCTATAATATAAAAATGAATCGAAAAGTATGTTGGTAAGCGCATAACTCAACAACGCTTAGACCAATTTGGCCAATTCTTATTTTAAAATGTTTGTTAAAGGCCAAGGATGGTTTTTACGGCGAGAAAAATTCGAATAATCGCCGGGAAAACCCTAAAGACAGTCTTTTTCTATAGGATAAAAGTTGGCATTGAGATTCAATCATAGTTATAGTTCAATAGTTGAATCTCAGATGGCGCGCTGAAGTGCATTATAAGCAATTCTTTATATAATTAATTAATTAATTTCTTTATATAATTAATTTCTTTAAATTTCTTTAAAGTCTAGAACAAGAGAGTAAAACGAATTACATTTTTATTAAACCGGGCAGAAGCTAGTATATAATGAATATAAATGCATGTTTAATAAAAAACGGATATCAATGGCGGTCGGTTGATGTCGGACTTTGAACGGGCGGAGAGACAGCCCAGCGTTGAATAATAATAGTATTGATTATCAATTAGCCGCTCGCTTCTGACAGCGTTGGCATCGATGATGCCGATGCGCATTGCGTAAGTCAGAGCCGGACGCCGACAATCGCTTTCTGCTAATTGTTGTTGCGGTTCTTACCGCCCGCTGGAAACATTGATGTGCGCGCGCGTGCTGCGTGCTCAATTGACAATTGCGAGGGTGATAAATAATGCATCGCAATCGACACCGGACAAATCGAAACATCTATAATTTTGCATTCAGCACGCAGGCATGCATGTAACGTCATGTTCAACGTTCATATTTTGAATATTATCGATATTCGCGTTTCGGATTACCTATTTTAAACAAGTTAACGCAAAATCAATACATTTTTGTGGCTTCTTGCATGAAGTCTCGTGTCTCAATTAATGTTGGGCTTTCATGAGGTAGAAAATATTTAAAAAACAAAACATGCTATTGTCACATCATAATAGAATTTTATAATAAACATAAAACTCATTAAAAGAATTTTGCAATAAAATATTTTCATATTTTTCATATAATTAAATTGCAAAGCAAATATTCTCATATTTATAATTTGTTTGCTTCATGTTTGTTTGAATCTGCTTTCGGTGCACCTACGCAAATTAAATTGAAATTTGTTTTTCGAGTATTACAGACTTTAAAAATAATTACATGTCGTGGTTTTAATAAAGGCAAATTCAGTATTATTGCGTTTAAGTGGCGCAGTAAAGTTAGATCCCAATTGTATTAACTTAAATCCCGTTTATTGATTTCCTATATTAGCGCGCACCGCTGGTGTCTACCGAGTTTATTTGCCGAATTGAAAGGAACACGTACGCATGGGTTGCGGATACGTGCACACGCCTAGATCCGGAAGCATAAGCGAAGAAGTTATAGGTACAGTGGCGAAAAGGCAATATAAGTAAGCGCCGCTCGGCGCTTAGTTTTCTCCGGCCGCGTTCGTTTATTAGCCCGTCAAGCGACTAAACAGGACCTCGGGACTGGCACCGGGATCTCGAGTCGAGTAGAGAGTAAAGAACAAGTTGGATCTTTAGCGTATCCACACGGTGCGCGCCTCCTCCGACACATGAAAGGGGAAGAATGAAAGAAAAGTAAATTATAAATGGTTAACTTGCCGAGGCACGTGCGTTTTCTATCGGCTGTTAATAAATTGCTCCGAAAAATTGATATAACACATAACAGTACTCGAAATATTCAATGTAATTTTATTAGGTTAATCTTCCAGGTAAAGTAAATTCCTGGTGTTTTATTTTAATCAAAATCACTGCCGTGAATTTGACGCCTGACAATCTACAAAGAAAAGAAAAACAGAGTAGTGTTGCCAAAGCTCTACTACTGCTCTGTATTCTTGTAAACTAGCCACGAAGAGAAAGCACAGGGCCTAACAACTGGCAGCTCTCTGGAAGAAAGATATTTCCGCGTTTCTTGGTTTAAATGTAAATGTTGTCTTGGGCCGCGGCGCGCTCTGCCCCGGCCCTTTTCGCAACAACGGTCTGAACACTTTATCTCCGCATGGACTTGTGTACTCGTTCATACACGAATACATTGTTATTTGTTTCGCGTTGAGCATTTGTTTGAATGTGTCGTCCGCCGTCGTCTTGCGCCGCTGCCGGCCCCCTCGGCGCGCGCGGTTGTTACAATGTTGGGTTAGTATAATCCGGACAGAGTGCGGAAGGAAATTGGTCGGAAGTAATTGCATTCAGCGCGACCGCAGAATCAGACCTGGCTGGCTGGCTGGTGTGTCGCGCTCGTTTCGGGGCCGCGTCCAAGATGATGCGTATATTTTGTATACTAATTGGGCCGAGGATTCAAGGATCCGAAACTAAGGGCGGGCGCACGATCAAATATAATTTGAACTCGCCGGAGCCTATTTGCTTCCATACATTCCCGGCGCCTCCACCACAAATTTTCCCTCGTTTTCTTGTGGGTTAATTTATTTCAACAGTGATAATTTATAAGAATATTGTAATTAATGTCACTTGATTAATGGGATAATTACTGTTTTCTATTCGATTTGAAGTTTTAAAATTTATAATAACACTTTCCAAGGAAAGTACTGCATCAGTGTCGGTGTCATGTCAAGGCGAAAGTAACAAATGATTACAGTACACCGACGTTGATGAAGACATAATAATAATATCATAATTCAACGCGATAAAGATATAATAAACGTGGGAAATTGAAGACACGCTCGGAAGCTATAATTTTTTCATGTCCGACCATCAAACGAAACCTTTCAACTATCCAACGTCCGCGTGTGATCGTGCCGCCCTCTTATCACGCCTCCACCCCTCGTTTCTATGCGGTACGCACATATTTTGGGGGTGGAAATTGAAGGCGGCTATACCGCTGTCCCGCTTTGATTTATATTTTATTTTAATTTTCACGCGGGCCGGCATATGCGGTGCGCAACTGCCCGAAACACGCACGATACAATTCGGCCACAACCGCCCTCCCGCCGCCCCCCGCGCGCACGAAATGACACGACGATGTGTTTATGAATTTATAATCGTCTTCCGCGCGGAAGCTCCTATAAATTGTCCTTGCTGTCATGAGTTGCGGCAGAGTGGAAGCACAGTCCAACGCCGGCGCGACGACGACGGTTGAACAAAAGCAAGCGGGCGTTTGATGATAAGTGACTCTCTCTTCGGCGAAGAAGTGCTGCATACGAATATGGAGCGTTACATCGGCACGACAGCTGTGGTCACCGGCGCGAGTGTTGGTATCGGCGCCGCCGTTTGCGAAGTGCTTGTCAAACTTGGTATCAACGTGAGTGCACAATTGATTTGAATACTTTTGAAGTTACACCTTTGCTTGTGTGCAGGTTGTGGGTGTAGCTCGTCGCGTGGAATTAATTGAGGAACAAGCGGAGAGACTCAGCGGCGAAAGCGGGAAACTTTATCCGCGGAAATGCGACTTGCGTGATGAGCGTCAGATTAATGCAATGTTTGATTGGGTGGAGGCCAATCTCGGTGCTATTTCTATTATGGTCAACAATGCAGGCCTAACATTACCTACAACTTTAATCGGTTTAGTTTTAATTTTAAAAAACGTCATTTTAGTTTTCTTACTCAAAAATTCTTTCCAGAGGGCGCTCCTGATCAATGGCGCACTTTGTTGGACGTAAACGTTCTGGGTTTGTGCATCTGCACGAAAAAAGCGATTGAATCTATGAAGGCGCACCAGCAGGACGGTCACGTCGTGCACATCAACAGCATCTTGGGGCACTACATGCCGGATGTGCCCTGTTTGAACGTTTATCCAGCGACGAAGTTTGCGGTGACTGCGTTGACCGAAACACTTCGGCGCGAATTGCGCACGGTGACCTCGCCGCGAATTAAAATTTCTTCAATCAGTCCCGGATTGGTAGCGACTGAATTCCTCGAAGGTTTCACTGACTTGGGCGGCCTGCGCGATGGTTTGAAGCAGGTGCCGGCGCTGCAGGCGGCTGATGTTGCAGACACGATCATCTACGTGCTGAGTACTCCGCCACATGTTCAGGCATGTCTCGTGCAGCAACCCTATATACACGTACCTTGCAATAATAACAAAGCATTATTTTTATAGCGCGTGTGCGACCCCTCTATTAACACCGTTCGCTCAAACGCGATTAACCACAATTAACTTTCACTTTAATTTCCAGATTCACGACATTATTGTCAAAGTTACGGCCGAAGCCTTTTAAATGCGCGCGATTTGGTCCGCAAAAGTTAATGGTAATTAGCTCGTCGAGTTTGATCTCATTAGCACTCAGCGTTTACGATTGTGCAACCAAGGGGGACACGACATCGACTTTTTTTTTAATGGTTTTAAGAATTTATGCTCTGTGTTGATGAGTCACCATCACTAAATTATTTATAAAATAAAATTTTCACAATTGTTCCGAGAAACCTTGTATCACAAAATATTAATAAACATATTCTACACCATTTAATAAATATTCCAGTACCGAGTAATTAATTTTGTTGAATTCATTTAACATGTTATTCATATTTCAAAATTTAAACGCTGTACTTAATATTTGGCGAAAGCATCAATATTAATGCGTTTAAATGAACCAGAATAACGTATACTATAAATAAATAGACTTGTAATGAATAAATAAATTGCTGAAAACAATCTGCGGGTTGTTAATTAAATAAATCAATTCGGTTCAAGTGTTATCAAAGTAATTACTTTATTGATTTTAATCGAACTTTTACTATTGTTTTATTAAATTTTCCGTGTTCGTTTAATTTATTTAATGTAATAACAATTTAATTTGTTTTTCTTTAAATTATGCTTAAATGGAAGCGTTGTTTTAGAAATAATGAGATGCCATCAATGATAAATGCCTGCAGCTCTGTCATTTAACATAGAAAATTTATTAGTTTTTCTTTGTTCAATTATGCATTGCAGCGCCATCTGCAAAGGAAACCATCCAACTACGATTACGAACAAAAGATAAATGTCACGAATGTAACCTGAATAATCAGAAAAGTTGTAAGTCTCACAACGCTCCACGCAAACATTATTCTACAATTTGTTTTTCCTTATCACTTTGTTTTCTATTCTACGAATTAATTATTATACCACACAATGTTGGTGTCTTGATTTTGCCACAGTAACTTCAGTGCTCAGTATTAGAAATAGGTGGAGATGAATGGCACAGATATGGATTTTAAAGTTTTTACTTTAAATTGCTGGTAAGCATATGATTCTTAAGAAAAAATAGGTTTAATAACATATTTAATTAATTTCCTTATATTTTAGGGGCATTCCACTGGTTGCTAGTAATAAAAACGCCAGAATACAAGCAATTGCTTCTTCACTTGCCACCTGTCCATATGATGTTGTGTGTCTTCAAGAAGTATGGACTGATTCAGATTATATTATAATTAGGGATAAGGTCAGGGGAACACTACCATATTCACATTATTTTTATAGGTTGGTATTAAGTATATCAATTTACAATGAAAATAATTTAAGAAAATGTTTTGTTATAGTGGTGTGCTAGGATCAGGTGTTTGTGTCTTTTCAAAGCATCCAATTGTGGATACACATTTCCACAAATGGATGGTGAATGGCTATGTGCACAAATTACACCATGGTGATTGGTTTGGTGGCAAGGGGATTGGATTGTGCCAAATCAAATGGAAAGGCATGCTACTGAATATTTACTCAGCACATGTATGTTTAATAATAAAATTTCTTTCGAAAAAATATATTAATATCTGTAATTTTAGTTGCACGCTGAATACAATCGAAAATGTGATGAATATTATGCCTGCCGCGTTGTTCAAGCCTTTGATACTGCTCAATTTATTAACTTTACTTCCGCATCAGCTGATGTGATCATTCTAGCTGGAGATTTGAATTGTGAACCTGGTGATTTAACTTACAGGCAAGTAAATTTCATATATTTATTTCTTATATTATAATTGTAAATTGATTTATCAGGTATATGGTGGAAATGACAGCATTGCAAGACGCGTTTAAAGTTCAGAAGGACGGCACGAAAGGGCCAACCAATTTGGACTTACAAAATACTTACACTCCGAAAAGTTTTAAAGAAAAAGGAATGGACGGTCCACGAATTGACTACGTATTGTACAAAGGCTGCCACAATACGCAAGTTAGTCTTGTTGAGTACAAGCAGCCTTTCCCCGAACGTATTCCTGGCATGAATATTAGTTATTCTGACCATGAAGCTATCACGGCGACACTCAACATCACAAAGGGTGACACCTACGTGGAAAACAAAGCCATTGCAACCAAGTTCAACGAGTCTATGCTACTGGAAGGCGTCGCGGTGATGGATGCCGGTTTGGAAAATGTCGCCAAGCATAAAGTGTGCTATTGGATTATTAGCATTCTGCTCCTCGCCGTGATTATCGGCAGCTTCTTTTACGTGCCTGAATTTGAGGCGGTTCTGGATTGCCTGCGTATATTGTTGACGATTATCATGAGCTATACGTTTGTCATGGCTACATTGTGGAACATGATTGAGACGAATACGTTGTACGCGACTAAATTGGCTATGCAGATTAATCTCAAAACGATTCAGAACGAAAATTCATCATAGCAGAGAAGCAGCCGGAGGTGTGGTGGACGCTCAATTTAAGCTAGACCAATTATTATCTAAAATGATGCATTTATCAGCTCAGATGTATATATTTTTAATTATTCATAATGGAAAAACACAGTATCAATTTTTAACATATTGTAGCTATAGATGAATAATATCCATTTAACAATCAAGATCTTCTATGATATCAGAGTATTATAATAAAACTGTTATCACTTTGCCAGCGAAAACAAAATAGTTGTAACAATTCCATTTCTAACTTGCGCTTTTGTTTTGAGTGAGTCCGGTACGTGGCGCCATCTACGTTGCTAGTATTTCGGCAACACTGTGCCTAGTCGCCATAAACGAAGAGCTGTCAGAATCTTGTGATTTTGTGTGAAAAGGTGCCGGGAAAAATCCGTGAATATCTTGTTAATCCTTTGTTAATTTTACGGCAAAATATCAAAAATGGTTCAAGCAAGTGCTGCAGGAGATTCCAAACCGCGTAGTGTTGTGTACAAAGATAAGAGCAAACCGGCCGATGTACGCCTCAGCAACATTAATGCAGCCAAAGGTAAACAACTTTATTAAATTTTCTATTTAAATGATAAATGAGAATATAATACACTTAAATTGCTTTCCAATTTATTGTATTCGTCATTATGCAATTACTTCTGTTTATAATTATTACTGTCCTTACATTATTTCATACAAAATCAATTTTCTGTTTGGTCATAACCAAAAAGGTGTGTTTGAATTGAAATCTTCTAGAACATTTCGAAAAAATATATTTTATAGCAATATTTATATAAATACCGTAAATTTACCTACATATTTTTCCTTTTTACTAATAGTTTCGTTCATTTTAAATTCAGAACTTAATTTTTTTAATGATTAAAATTCAGATGGTTCTTGCATTTATTAGTCATACAAGAGTGATTTGAGACTTATACAGGATGTTAATTTATTTCTTAAATTTGGTGTCTAGCTGTTAGCGATGCGATTCGTACAAGTTTGGGACCCAGAGGGATGGATAAAATGATCCAGTCCAGTAATGGGGAAGTCACAATCACTAATGATGGTGCCACAATTCTAAAACAAATGAATGTCATTCATCCTGCTGCAAAAATGGTAAGATAAAATAAAATCTTAGTCAGAAAATAAATAGATAATATTATTTTGGCATTGTAGTTGGTAGAACTTTCGCGGGCACAAGATATTGAGGCCGGTGATGGTACCACCACTGTTGTGGTAATTGCTGGAGCTCTTCTTCAGGCCGCCGAGAAACTTCTCAGTCGCGGCATTCACCCAACTGCTATCTCAGAATCTTTCCAAAGGGCAGCCACACATGCGGTTGAGGTAAAATGTTGTTTAACTGTATAATAATCACGTAATAATTAAAAATTTTATTTAGATTCTCACCAATATTTCGACTCCAATCCAATTGGATAACCGCGAACAACTCGTCCGCAGCGCATCCACCTCTCTCAACTCGAAAGTTGTATCTCAGCAGTCGAATCAGCTGGCTCCTTTGGCTGTTGATGCTGTTTTCAAAGTGATGCAGCCTGGTCAGGACAGCACTGTTGATCTGAGCAATATCAAAGTCATCAAACAATTGGGTGGTACCACCGAAGATACCGAACTAATCGACGGTCTGGTATTCCCACACAAAACAGCGAATGTTAATGGCCCCAAACGCATCGAAAAGGCGAAGATTGGTTTCATCCAATTCTGTATTTCGGCACCAAAGACCGACATGGATCACAATGTGATTGTGTCTGACTACGCCGCCATGGATCGCGTTCTTAAAGAAGAGAGGACTTACATTTTGAACATCGTAAAACAAATCAAGAAGGCTGGTTGCAATGTTTTACTGGTAAGTTGATTAAGGTTGATAATAAGAAAGTAGAAATTTGCCCCTTAATTTTTAGATTCAAAAATCGATCTTGCGCGATGCTGTTTCTGACCTTGCATTGCATTTCCTGGATAAAATTAAAGTCATGGTTGTGAAGGATGTCGAACGCGAAGACGTCGAATTCGTTTGTAAGTCTTTGGGTTGCAGACCGATTGCTTCTTTGGATCACTTCACCGCTGAGAATTTGGTTTCTGCCGAACTGGCTGAGGAAATTGGTATTGGTTCAACTCGAATGGTTAAAATTACAGGCAAGTTAAGACACTTTTAACTCTACCATTGTAATATTTATTTTCATGTTCTAATAGGAGCACAATCCGCTGGTAAAACCGTGACACTTTTGGTTCGCGGATCGAATAAATTGGTTTTGGAAGAAGCCGATCGTTCCATTCATGATGCTCTGTGTGTCATCAGATGTTTGGTTCGTAAGAAGGCATTGATTGCCGGCGGTGGTGCTCCTGAGATCGAGCTCGCCTTGAAACTGTACGCATTGGCAGACAAAATGGAAGGTTTGGATGCGGTTTGTTTAAAAGCTTATGCCAATGCGTTGGAAGTAGTTCCGTATACTTTGGCCGAAAACGCCGGGCTTAACGCTATCCAGACCGTCACGGAATTGCGCAGCAGACACGATAAGGGAGAAACATCCGCTGGTATTAATGTGCGTAAAGGAACTATTACAGACATTTTGGAAGAGAATGTGGTGCAGCCTCTGCTAGTTTCAATTAGCGCTATTAATTTAGCCACTGAAACAGTCAGATCCATCTTAAAAATTGATGATATTGTAAGTTATAACAATTAGTTAACTGAAACATAATTATATGTAATTTATTTTTGCGTTTTCAGGTAAACACGATGACATAAATCCTCACTACTGCACTTTGAAATAAGCTTTATAAAGTAATTTATAACATTCGCATAATTCGTTCTTCATTTTTGATGTGTATTGCATTCTACCACGATCAAACAATAAAATAATAAAATCTATGTATTTCAATATGCTTTCTATTGCTGCTCGCTGCGTTCACAACAAGATAAGTTGCACTGCGCGCTTATCAGGGTGGTGCAAAAACAACTTTTTTATAGTATTCAATGTGACCGTCGTTGCAAGGCTACACGCAACACGATCTGCTGGCGCACTCAGCGCACTCGACACGCCGGGTTCAGTCTTGATAAATCACTCGTACGGTGCGCGTTGTTTCGTAGTCGCCATGTTTTTAAATTAAATCATCCATCGTCTTCGGTAAACCAATATATAGCTGTGTATCTGTATTAAGTGCCTGTTTATCTGAACCCGATTGTGATTTCTAGCATGTGAGGATTATCGTTAATTTAAAGGTAATTACATTTTTATACTATTACCATGTGCTTTGCGAACTGGAAAATAGCGTATACCTTTGAATTGTTATCATTTGTATCGTATACACTCGACACAATTCTTTCTTTTGACGTTGTATACTTTAGCTTATATGTACTTAAATATTAGAAATATTTTATATTCATTTCCTCTTATTAATCAGTGGCGTGTAAATTACTTTTTCCTCGTGTTCAACGTATGTTCGTATCCAATATGGTATTGTCACTACAATACAAATAGGTCTTCAGAAAAGCGGTACTCGATCAGTGGCGTAGCAAGGTAACCAAGAGCCCTGGGGTAAATCAAAATGTCAATGATTGAAGTCGGATTGCAACCTGTCATATTTATTTTAAGGATTTGAGGCCCCCCTGACCTTGAGGGCCTCTAGGCACTGCCCCGTCTAGCCCCTTGGTAGTTACTCAATGTGGAACCCGCGCAATGGGATGGCCTGTGCTAGTATGGTAAATCCAAATCGTAGGAACATGCGTTGAGCTTCTTCTTTTTTTTTTGCATACACTGCCTTTTCCAGAATAGGGCACCTTTTTATCAATTAAAATTAGATCTGAAATGCAGCGGAAGAGTTGTGGTTTAAGTGTAAAGCGTTTAGTTCTGTCATGGAAGACAGCGCTCAACTTTTCTTATAACTTCAATTCACTATTCCAGAAATAGGCTTAAGGGCCAGCCGAGTTTAAAATCAGATTAGATATGTATGTACTTAAAATAATGCGGTTTTCATTCCAAAAGAGAACAGACATGCAGACAGAATAGCTAAAGGAAAGAGAACATGAGCAAGCACAACAATGTTTAATTGTAATCGGGCACCAAAGGACGCCACACTTGTATTGTGCATTTCATATATACGAGTATGTTAACGTGTGCATGTGTAGTAGTATTGTCTTTATAGAACTGGGGAAGTATCGCTAAGTGTAGGTGTTTTAGTTTTGCCTATCTGTTTTTTGATCCTTGTAGTGTTTTAAAAGTAGGTTTTAATGGTGGCATTCATATGTAGTGATTAGTTTTCGGTAGTAATCATGTGTAGTATTTAGAATCCGACCGAAATTGGTTTCTCAGCCGAAACAGAAACCGAAATTTCGGTCCTGGCCTCAGTTTCGGCCTAAACCGAAACTGTAACTTACACAATCATATTTAATTTAAGTTTTTATAATGCAATTAAATTATTTACAACAGTATTAAGCAGTAAAGTGAAGTAATTGAAGATAGATTAGAAATTTTTGGGTTTGGGAATTTCGAGAACATATGTTTGGTTGAGGATTCCTTTAAACTTCTTTCGTGTGTGACTTCAAAATTAAACTATGATAAAATTCATGAACACTGAGTTTCGGTCTAACGGACGAACGAAATGTCCTTGGACAACGATTCTTTTATCAGATTGTAAGTACTGAATTTGTATATCAGTCACATTTATAATTTATAGGATTAGCATACAGGAAAACTGCAAAAATGTAATATTTGTACTTTGATGTGCTAATTTTCGGTTGTTTTAGGTGTCTAGCAGGCGAATAAATTGTTCTAGGACAACGATTCTTTCATCAGATTGTAAGTATTGAAATTGTTAATCATTTTCATAAATAATTTGTTTGATTAGCATACGAGAAACATGCAAAAATCTAATTTTTGTGCTTTAAGGTGCTAATTTTCGGTTGTTTTAGGTGCCTAGCAGGCGAACAAATTGTCCTAGGACAACGTTTCTTTTATCAGATTGTAAGTATTGAAGTTGTTTATCATTTTCATAAATAATTTGTGTGATTAGCACACGGGAAACCTGAGAAAATGTAATTTTTGTGCTTTGATATGCTAATTTTTGTTTGTTTTAGGTGTCTAGCAGGCGAACAAATTGCCCTAGGACAACGATTCTTTCATCAGATTGTAAGTAATGAATTTGTTTACCATTTGCATAAATAATTTGTGTGATTAGCACACGGAAAACCTGCGAAAATGTCATTTTTGTGCTTTGATATGCTAATTTTTGTTTGTTTTAGGTATCTAGCAGGCGAACAAATTGCCCTAGGACAACGATTCTTTCATCAGATTATGAGTAATGAATTTGTTTATCATTTTCATAAATAATTTGTGTGATTATCACACGGGAAACCTGCAAAAATGTAATTTTTGTGCTTCGATATGCTAATTTTTGTTTGTTTTAGGTGGCTAGCGGGCGAACGGAATATCCTAGGACAATTTGATCAAATTGTAAGTATTAAAATTGTTTGTCATTTAAATAAATTGTTTCCATGGTTTATACAATGGAAAGTGAATTGAATTAAATTAGTTGTTTTAAATATTAGCAGACACATTGCAGATTTCTTGGTAATTTATTTAAAGTTTGTTGTCCTAAAACTAGAGGGCAATACCAGCGGCTATCTATTATGTTTTGTTCCGCCACACCCAGATGGCGCTCGTATCAGCTATCTATTTTGTTTTGTTCCGCGACGGTCAGATGGCGCTGCCATCGATTTGGTTTAAATTCTTGCTTAATTTTTGTTTAGTTTTTGGTGCACAGAGTTGCGGAGGGCACGTCACTTTTATACACAACTTTTAAGTTTAACAAAACCAAAGTTTGATTTTTGTGCTTTAATTTTCTGTTGTTTTAGGCGTCTAGCGGCGAACGCGATGTCGTAGAACAACCATTCTTTCATAAGTCTTTCATAATTCAAATTGTATACCATTGTTATATACAACATTTGAAGAAGAAAATAATACAACATTTGTGTTTAATACAAGCGGAACCAACATATGTGGTATTTTTCCACAGTAAGTTAATTAAAATCCTTGCTTTCAAATAATGTTGTAAACTGATAAATTTATAACTTGCAATATATTAGTAATAGCATTTTGGTCGTGCGCAGATAGAAGAATGCCCCTCCAACTGCGGGTCGGTTATCAATTCTCTTACCTGCTTATTCCGGCTTAGTCGGTTCGGCGCTGTCTCGTGGTGCGCACGTGTTTTGTTCATTCATCAAACATGGTGACGATTTTACGCGTGTCTTAATATTTTAATTCTGTAGTAATACTAGAATCGGTTGACCATCAGAGACATTTAGTAATAACAGCCCAGTGTAGACACAACGAGTTATTTGAGTGATCCTTTACGATGCGTGCGTGGCGTCCGTCGGATATGTTCCGATGCCTATGTGTTTGATGTGAGAAAAAGTTTTCCAATTGCGATATCCGCGTGGAATAGTAAAGTAGTGCGTATCATCAATTCTACTTACAATTTGCGGAATGGTGTTAGTGCGCTTTAGTTTATTATGGATGGAAGAACAAAGAAGTAAGTAACAGGAAGTAAAACTTTACTTTTATTTAACTTTTTAAATCTTTCAGGTATCATTACTGCTGAATAACAATTGTAAATGATTCAGTTAATAAAATATAATTTAATCTTACATTCTTGTTTACATACATCCCTAGTGTTCTCTTAGTCGTTTTCAGGATTGGTATTAAGTCGTGTTGCACTGTAAGAGTATAGCACAGCATAGTATAGTATAGTGTGGTGCATGTATGCGGTTGTTTTATTTTATCATAAAATATGAACACATAAATAGACGAAACGAATACGGTTTGATAAGAAAGCCGCGTGGCTCTCAGGTGTGCAGCACATGCTGCTATACCTTAGATCGATGGTTCGATCCTCAGTTATAGTAGGCATTTTTCTCAAATATAAAAATAACAGGTATAATTTGGGTTGCATATATGAATTGCAACGAAATATAAGAGAAGGTGCAATACAAGTGAAGGCAATAAGAGAAGTAAGAAAGTAAGTCGAGAAACGGAGAACAGAGAAATAGGAAAAGTAGAAGACGGAAGAGAAGAGTGGAAGACAGAAGGAAGAGAACAGAGTTGAGAAGAGGAGGAGGAGATAGAAGAAAGAGCAACAGGGGTGGATGAAATTTTTAAATTTTTTGGCACGTGTCGTTATAAGACAGTCTACGGTCCACTGCTTCGATGCCTCCATTGCTCCCGGCCCATCCTACAGCTACGATGTCTCTGCGCTTCATCCCCGAAATTCTCAGGCATATCAACAATTTTTATGGTGGGGGATCACCCCCGGAGAGAGGGATTTCCTTATAAGGACAATCCTTATAAGGTCTTGTTCAAATATTTTTAAGTTTTAAGTCGCCTCAAGAGAAGTGACACTTAAAAATATTCTTACAAGTTCTGACCCTCAGCTGAAATGAAAGATGGAGTACACAAATCATACAGGATACCTTAACAATTTTTATAGTGGAGATCATCCCCTGAGAGAGGGAATTCTCTTAGAGACCTGTACCTGAAATGATAGAAGGGGGACATTCAGAGCATAAGACATAATATTTCTTAACATTTCTTTATTAATAATAAAATACAAGTTTAGATTTTACAAGTCAACAAAATACATGTCGCCATATTGAAACAGGACTGACGGCCTGCTTAGCCGCGCACTTATAAGAAAGTACCACTTGGTAAAGTTCTACCGGGATAAAGGAATTAGCAAATTGTCAATTTTCTACGTGATTTAAAATGGAAACGAATATACAGGGTGTTGCAAAAGGAAAATTTAAAGTGCAAACAAAAAACTCTAAACACGACAAACGTCGCTCGGAGTTAGGGAGTTAATATGCACAACATGAAGAGAGAAATTTACAAATAAACAACAATATTTTAATATAAAATCCAACATTTTACCCGAAAATCATCGGGCAATTGAGCAAAAGATGGTACGAAAATCAAACACTTACATTTTAACACATTGTGAATGTATATTTATTAATTGATGCATCACCTGCATAAAGTAACCGACGGGTGAAGTATCATCATAAATTAATAGAATATCCGGCGGAAAACATTCAAATCAGCTGACGGCAAGCGACGGCGCGTAGCAATACAGTTGTTAGAGAAGATAAAAATACCTTTTTTTTGTAAATATTAAGATACGGAGATTTTAACAGATCAACAATAAACTTCTTAATTTAAAGATGCTAAGGAGTGCAAATCGATTAAAATCATTCACGTGTTCAGCGTAAAGATGGCCGAGCCGACGGCCGACGGCAATGTGAGCGTGGTCGACCATATGAATATTGCCAATTTTAATAATCTTCAGATACTTTTTTAAAACAGTGTTTGTATTAATTAAATCATCCATTTTAAATTGAGAAACGGAACTACGAATTCTGATAAAAATGCTACCTACCATGTGTGTGTAATTTGCAAGACGATACATGCAAATTTCATATCACTCAAATAGACTAATCAATTTAAGTTAAACAGGCGTAACTTTGCATAAAAAAATTAATTAATTACCTACCTACACATTGATGAGAGGATTTTATATCCTGAAATATATTCTATCAACTGAAAACACACGCACAGATTAATGGACATTTATTATTTATTTAAGAAAACTCTAAACGCCACAAATCATTAAACATGACATTGCAAATACTTTGCTGATGGTCGAAAAAGTACACGACGATTAATCCAATTAAAACCTCGAAACGCATGGCGATCAGAGAGACACGTACGCGGACCACGCGTTGAAATGACTGCCGTGTGCGCTTCGCTTAGCCAGGTACAAGGCTGGTACGTAGCGATAATACGCGTCAGCCGAACAAAACAAGTTGTTTATACACAAACGTACTGATAAACTCGTAGTTGAAAAAACCAAACTAAAATTTCACAATGTTGAAATAACGAACATACACAAAATCAACTTTAACTTTCAATATTTGAGCCGTTTATTTTGAAAGTGACCTAACTCCGTTTTTTAAATTTTTGCCGGTTACCATGGTTACATGTACAACTTCATGTTATTTATCAGTGACGCACTTCAGATTGCTTATATTCAGAGAAAATACGGTACATTTTTTACACATAAGTTTTCCGAATTAATTGAATAACTGAGCCGTGCAGTTTGAAAGTGGCCTAACTCCATTTATAGTTACATCAAGATATTTACTATTGATAATGTCGGAAAGCAGCGATGAAGGTAATTTCAATTAATTAGTATTTACAAGTTCACCTTATTTTTGGGACAATTGCGTTGGTTAATTAACCTGTACGTTTAATTAATATAAAACTTAAAATTTAATATTAAATTATAGAAATTATTGCACCCATGAGGAAGAAGAGAAGAAGACCACTTAGTTCAAATAGTGAAGAAGAAATAGTAATTAATAATTTAAAAAAAAGCGAATAAGAAAAAGAATTATAGAACAATATTCCTCGTCAGAGGATGAAGATTCAAATAACAATGGAGAAAAGAGTGATGCACCATATATCTAAAAAGTGCGAAAGATTAAACAGAATTCAGGAAAAAGATATTGCAGTCAAACCGGAAGTATTGTTCAAGAAAAAAATTTCGAAAACAAAGATTGTGGTTGTCGGAATGCGTGCAAAAAAAATTATAATGAAGAAGAAAGAAAGAATATTTTTGAGAAGTTTAGGGGTTTGGCAGACTTTAACAAACAAAATGTATTACTTCACGAAGCTGTCTGTGAAACGAAGACGTTTTGTTTTTCAATTTGAAACATCTTAAATTATGTTGAATGGACTTGGGCATCCTCAAATTTTATAATGAATCGGCCTGTTAATTTTGAAAGTGGCCCAACTCCATTCTTGACAAGGAAACGCACGTTATTTACTTAATAATTGCCACTATTTTAACAGGAACTTTAAATTTAACATCCTTAGATACGCTTAAGCAGTATGACTCCTTAGTATCTTATACCTATATTTTTAAATTCATTGGAACGCAAAACTTTCAATATCTCGATTTGAAGATAAATGGAGTTAGGCCACTTTCAAAATAAGCGGCTCATTTCTCGACATAAGAAAAGAATTTATTGGCTGTGGGATGTCATAAGTAGTTGCAGGTCGAATTCCTGCAACAAACAATTACCACCCGACGGAGTATTAAATTTTGCATCTCTAGACGCCGCGCTGAAGTTATGGAGTTGCCAAGATCACGTGCAAACCCGAAAAAACACAAATATTTCACGAAAAAGGGTTGAAAAATAACATTTATATGCAAATTTTCGCGGGTTGCAGGTCGAATTCCTGCAATAATTATATACCGCCAGACAAAGAATTTAATTCTGCATCTCCGAATGTCCCGCTGAAATTACTGCGCCGCCTAGATCGCGTGCAAACACGAAAAAACACAAATATTTCACGAAAAAGGGTTGAAAAATAACATTTATATGCAAATTTTCGCGGGTTGCAGGTCGAATTCCTGCAATAATTATATACCGCCAGACAAAGAATTTAATTCTGCATCTCCGAATGTCCCGCTGAAATTACTGCGCCGCCTAGATCGCGCGCAAACCCGAAAAAACACAAATATTTCACAAAAAAGGGTTGAAAAATAACACTTATAAGCAAATTTTCGCGGGTTGCAGGTCGAATTCCTGCAACAATTAAATACCACCCGACGGAGAATTTAATTCCGCATCTCCGGATGTCCCGCTGAAATTACTGCGCCGCCTAGATCGCGCGCAAACCCGAAAAAACACAAATATTTCACAAAAAAGGGTTGAAAAATAACACTTATAAGCAAATTTTCGCGGGTTGTAGGTCGAATTCCTGCAACAATTAAATACCACCCGACGGAGAATTTAATTCCGCATCTCGGGATGTCCCGCTGAAATTACTGCGCCGCCTAGATCGCGCGCAAACCCAAAAAAACACAAATGTTTCACAAAAAGGGTTGAAAAATAACATTCATATATGCTAATTTTCGCGGGTTGCGGGTCGAATTCCTGCAACAATTAAATACCACCCGACGGAGAATTTAATTCCGCATCTCCGGACGCCCCGCTGAAATTACTGCGCCGCCTAGATCGCGTGCAAACCCGAAAAAATACAAACATTTCACAAAAAAGGGTTGAAAAATAACACTTAAATGCAAATTTTCGCGGGTTGCAAGTCGAATTCCTGCAACAATTAAATACCACCCGATGGAGAATTTAATTCTGCATCTCTAGACGCCGCGCTGAAGTTATTGAGTCGCCAAGATCACGTGCAAACCCGACAAAAGACAAATATTTCACGAAAAAGAGTTGAAAAATAACACTCATATATGCTAATTTTCGCGGGTTGCAGGTCGAATTCCTGCAACAATTATATACCACCCGACAAAGAATTTAATTCCGCATCTCCGAATGTCCCGCTGAAATTACTGCGCCGCCTAGATCGCGCGCAAACCCGAAAAAACACAAATATTTCACAAAAAAGGGTTGAAAAATAACACTTATAAGCAAATTTTCGCGGGTTGTAGATCGAATTCCTGCAATAATTATATACCACCCGACGAAGAATTTAATTCCGCATCTCTGGATGTTCAGCTGAAATTACTGCGCCGCCTAGATCGCGTGCAAACCCAAAAAACACAAATATTTCACGAAAAAGGGTTGAAAAATAACACTCATATATGCCAGTTTTCGCGGGTTGCAGGTCGAATTCCTGCAACAATTAAATACCGCCCGACGGAGAATTTAATTCCGCATCTCCGGACGCCCCGCTGAAATTACTGCGCCGCCTAGATCGCGTGCAAACCCGAAAAAATACAAACATTTCACGAAAAAGGGTTGAAAAATAACACTTAAATGCAAATTTTCGCGGGTTGTAAGTCGAATTCCTGCAACAATTATATACCACCCGACGAAGAATTTAATTCTGCATCTCTAGACGCCGCACTGAAGTTATTGAGTCGCCAAGATCACGTGCAAACCCGAAAAAACACAAATATTTCACGAAAAAGGGTTGAAAAACAACACTTATATGCAAATTTTCGTAAGTTGCAGGTCGAAATCCTGCAACAATCTAAACTAAACTAAACTAAACAAAATAATTAGAATTTTTAAATTCTGTTTTTGGTTTTTCAGAGTATATTAAATTCTAAATCGGAAACATGTAACACAATTGTAGATTAAAGTCATTTTGTATTAAAAACCATTTTTTTTTAAATAAAATTGCAAATAGGGCCTAAACCGTCAATGAGAGAAAAATAATTACTTAAATAATCAGTCTTTTTAATTTGTACATTAAACGAAAACGAAACAATGTATCGAATACGTATTGCAAATCAACGGTAGGTATTGAAACAGAGACAAAAATTATTCGTGTGGATAAAGACCACGCGGTTGAAGTAAAAACAAGTTAAGTCAATAATAGATTTGATTTTTATATGGCTCAAGAAATGCGAGAACATACCTTGATGCAAAATAAATTTTTGCGCGTTTGGCATATCCAATGTAAATATGAAATAAATATGAAATACGCGTATGATACAAAAAGAGTATCCGACGGCCGACGGAACATCACTCACGCTTTACCTCTGCGTGTGTACAATCCGCGCTTAACGAACATCGCACATCACTCGCGCACAATCTAAAGAGCATTTAGAAACAGTACGTAATAACGCGACAAAAAAATTAAAGAACTAAAAATATTGTAAAGAAAATGAGCGTCCAGATCACCCGACGACAAAAATGAGACTAACGTGGTACGCACGCCAACCGCGTGGCGACCGCACAAAACTGCAGGAGATAAAGAAACTTGTTTGTTTGTAAACACTGATACTTTCAGTGTGGTAGTGCAGAACATGAGAAGAATTGTACTCGTACTATGCATGGAACTATTAATTTTTATATTTGATTCAAATAATCATTCTAAACAAGTCTTGCGCAGATTGTTAACCGCATTAAGTTGTAAGCCAATATTATACTAAGTATTTGATACAAGTAATGGCTTAAAAACAGATTTGCCCAAATTAAATCGAAATCAAACAAGATGTTTGATTGACTGTTTGATACAAATTAAAATAGTATCAATCATATGACCAAATTAAATTGAAAGTGTGGGGTGCATTTCATCGTCTGGGCTTTGTGTTGGTACGCTCGGTCCGGCAAGGATGTTTAGTCTACATTTGTTTAGTCTGAACGAAACAGAGTAACCCCTTGTAGTCTCGGTACGAATTGCTCAACTCAAGGTTCTTTTGACATATTTATTGGTATACCTATTCAGTGGTAATAATTGCCGGGACCGTCTAGACGACGTATCGCCCTATTCACAATAGCTAACGTATAAACACAAAGACCAGATGGTGAAAATTTCAGATATAAAAGGGACACCTCGAGAGGTGTTCGTCAGTCAGTTCTTCGAGTTCATTTGATGTAGAAGCTTGTACTTATTAATAAACGCATTACCACAAAAGCTATAATCTTCGTGGCTATAATCAAGCAAATCATTAACACAAATAATAATTAAAAACAAAATTTCAGAATTAAATTGAAAGTAATACTTGTCAAATGTTCAAAAAAAGGCCACCATTTCCAACACGCATCAAATCAAACATAATTGATTGTTGGACAAAACGCCGTGTGCAATTCATATTCAAAATTAAACTGCTTTACTGGGGAACCCCAATTAAACTCGTGATTAGGATCGGAAAAGCATTTGTAATTTAGGCATCTTCCCCCGAAATGACGACGCGAACAAGCAAATTCTCGCTATGTGTCTCATGTTTGCGGCGACCACAAGTATGTCGCCCGTCTTCCGGCCTGTCGCCGGCTGCGGCACAGTGCCGCGCGACGAATTTGCACTCAACACTCTCGGTTAATTTCCTTGCAACCGACCGACTCGCATTGCGTTGCTGCAGCAATTAGACGGGATTCTAATGACCAGGACGTCGATACCACCCAGGCGACCAGTTTAATGCTTATATCGAACTTCGTACCACTTTAACGCTAATTCACCCCTTTCGAAAATTAGGAGGAATGCCTGCAGGGCACTCGCACTTTCCATTCATATCCAGCATGGCACTCCAAAGTGGTATTGATTCCACTTGACTGAAGGCTATAAAAATACAGAAAATTAATTAATTGAATCTCACAACATCTTTTTTTCTATCAAATTTAAAATAAAACTATAAATAAAAATTTTAACAAGGCATGCAATAAAACCCACGAAAAATTTTGGAGTATCAGATGATTGCGTCCATAAAGATGGCAAACACTTCGAAATACTATTATTACATGCTCTTGTGCGCATGCAAATGATGTGAAATTATATGAAGAAATGCCTGGGATTTTTTTCGCTGGCAAAATGCACGTCGCACAAGTGGATGAGCGCGTCGTTCAATTGACATGTCGATGTCGGCATGAGAAAAGCACGTTAGTATTCACCGAACATAACTGACGCACAATAAATTTCATCATTCCGCCGGTTCCCATTTTGCAGCAAAAAATGAATATAAAATATATCTACAGAAATATAAAAATATGTATGCATATCTATGCTGCTACAGAAATCATGCAGAGGGTAGAAATTGAAGATCATTTACGAATAAAATTACAATTTGACTTTTCACTGCGGCTAAATTTAGATTTGAAAATTTTAATAAATAAATAAATAAATAGAAATAAAGTCTTTGCCACATATCTACATTTTATAACATTACCTCTTGACACGTCTTTTTGTGGCTGTAAAAAACGTGAAAATTTATCTACGTCAAAGCACATCTGTTCAATTGTCGCCGGCATTTCCTCTCAGCATGCAGGAAAATTCCGTCTACGTAGCACGCAATCTTATTAACATTGATAACATTCGCAAATGCACATGTTACATCTCACACTTGAACTACAACAAATCTTTCTTGCTTAACATCATCATGTATGTTGAATTCATCCACTTTTATTTAATTTTTGGACACTTTATATTACATATATAGTTAATATTATATTTATATATTCATGTATAGTTAATTTACAAGCGGAGTATTTTTTTTCAATAATTTTGGCGCGCTTTAATGATACGTTGATGTGTTTGTTTTGTTTCGAGTTATGGTACTGTTGATGATGCTTCGAATTCGTTACAATTAACAACATTACAGTATTATACACGTAGCTAAATTACATTGGCAATGTTCATTACTTCACTGTGATTTTTAACTAGCACCAAATCACTAGAACTACAAGGGTACTATGTATATTATATTATGTAAGGTTTTTTTAGTTTGAAAATTTATAGTAAACAGTTATTTGTGGAAGATTAGGTGAAAGTTTTTTATAGAAATTTTATACTTGATTAAGATGATGCTGAATCATTTTTGTAATCCGACTAATATAATACTGCAATGTTATGAAAACAAAGAATGTCTCCAAGGCGCAAGAGTGCTTTCCAGCTTGCGGAAATGTCTCCACCATGGATATATTTATATTAATTTCAGATAAAAGCTATTAAATGTAACAGTCATTTCTTTAATTCATACTTTATATCTTAAACATCGTTATATCTTGATTCGATTTCTTTATCTTCGCTACATGTTCGATATAATTCACGTGTTAAAACAATTGAATCGTTGATGATCATGTTCGGGGCTTTGGGGGAGTACGATTTACTTAAAATATCAAATGCTTAGATGTTACTTTATTGTAATTTTAGTTATCTTATTGACTCTCGCCGATGTCTGCTAAATGCTACGTGATCGCGCAGTCCAAACACGGGGGTGAGTTGAATATGATTTGATGATGAGTAAATTCGTAACTATTACTTATATGTTAATGTTCTGTCGTATGAGTTACGTTTGTATAAACATCAATTTAGTTTTTGGCTTGCAACTTGACTCTGATCAAACGTAAAACACAACAGCAATGTTCAACACGCTACAAATATTTTCATGTTGCATCATTCAATTTTGTATAGCAAGATACCAAAAACGCAAAGAACTTTTCATATCCGTTAAACTGATTATTAGTTCCTCGTGCTTGTAGATCTTATCTGTCGTAATGCGAAATGAACATACAATTATTATCATCGTTTCAGTGCATTTCCTCAGGTTGCGCTGCAAGTACATATCAACGCCGAACATGTTTACACGTCTGGCGTTTTACTATTACGGCTGTTTACACCCTTCGCGCAGGCAGTCGCATATCATTATCCGCGTCGGCGGCAACATCAGCACGCGGCATGCGTACCATGCACCACCGCCGGCGGGCGTCTGACTTTAATGAAATTAATTCGGAACAACAGCGGCGTCTAGCGGTTTCGCCCGTCGCAAACGCCACAATGCACATTCGATCAAAAATAGATTAGGTATAAAGGAGCGTTGAGTGGAAAGTGCGTGGGCACGGAGGCGGGGAATGATGTTGCGGCAAAAGGGAATATTACAAGTGGCGCGACACTGGCGACAAGCTCGTCGTCTCCGTAGAGGCAAAGAGCGTGAGCAGCGTGACGGCGGTCGCGCAAATAATTAGCGCTCGCGACGGGCCGTCAATGACGACGGCGGCGGCGGCGTCCGCCTGCGACGTCAGCGTACGAAAGGTCGACGTGTTCGTGTACGTGCTGAGTCCGGCTTTGTTGCGCGTCGCCGCCTTTATTTGATACTCGGTGTCGTGATGCAGACCTTGCAGAATATAGCTGTTCTCTGCAATCGACCAACAAAGTATATATTACTTCTCAAAATATTATCACACATGTAATCGCAATTAGAATAGTAAATATTGATGATATTCAGAATTGCAATTTCCAGTTGAACATGTTATCACCATTAGAATTTGATTATTCTATAAATTTTATAAATTTTCTACGCAATAGTGGCTGAATTTAAATATGAAAAAGATTTACATAAATCTAATTAGTCCCATCTTGTTCTTTCGCAACTTTCTCGCCACAAAGTTTCCACAACTAATTTCCAGTTTATTCAAACAAACCCATATAATGAACTCCGACTGCTAAGTAGAAACCACCGCGCCTCGGCTTATAATCCCCATCTTGTAAATTTAATTATTGCTGTTCTTTGCGAGCGACTTTCCCAATTTGCTAATTTGCATTAATTCATCTTCCGGGCGACATTACGTGCCCGCAAGCACATTAATCTTATATCAGTACGCGCACTTTGTATGGCATTCATTAATAAAAACCCGGCTAGTAAAAACGGGATCAATGCAAGTGTGGTATAGGTTTTGAAGTTTGCATAAAATGTGTCTTGTTTGTGGCTTGTTAGCTGATTGATTAATGATGGCGTTATGTGACGCGCGGCGCCGGCATTGTGATGAGAATATTTATTACTTGGAGCCAAATCGCTCAAAGGAGTGATGTAGTGTTTTGCGGATAAAGATTAATTATTAATAGGTGCGTGCGAAGGTTTTTTCCTCCGAATTTCACGCGTCTGCGGAATGCGTGAGGTGAGGCCGCGCGCACCGAATCAAACAGGTATCCGAGGGCGGCGATCAAATATTTACGAGGCCAATGCTGCTGGCAGTGGCGGCGGCGCGGCGGTGCCGTCACTTCGTTGAGTTGTTGTGCGAAACACTAAGTATGATTTATTGGAAATCGTCGCAAACGATGTGTACACAAGTGTTGAGAGTGTAAATCAATATTTGTGACTGCGGTCATAAAACTGAGCCTTTCGTACATTCCTATTTTTAGGATGAGATTTGCCACGAAAAAATAGTACGAAATAATGTAATAAAAATCAATTTACCTTCATTAGTTTCAAAGTCCAAGTACCTCCAATGCTTGTCCTGCTTGCTTTTATATTCGACCCGATAGCCAATCGGTTTTTGCGACAACGGCGTTTTCTCGGCACTTTTGTGTGGGTGGATTCCAATGTCAAGCAGGTCGGAGTTGGCGCCACGCAGTTCGACAAAGTCTGGCGGTGGCGGCTGAATTCCCTGCTGGAGATGGAAGATTTTCTCCAAAGTTCCGATTGTGTTCTTCACCTTGCACATGTAGTTGCCAAACAAGGACGCGTCTTTTACTCGAATCTATATATGAAAACAAATCAAATCATCAAATATTTATGACTGAATTTTGTTTTATTAATTTAATTCCGCGAATTTCTATAATCCGCTTTGTTTTAAACCCGATTTGAGTTATTTAATGTATTTTAGGTAATTTTCACAGCGTGTTTTGCTCCACAACCCGACGAAATGCCTAAGCTTAATTGAAATGCGTATAGTTTTCGAGAAAAGTAAAGTATTTAATGTGGCATGTAGCATTTCAAGCGATATAATCGTCTTAGTTTACAATTTGGGAAATGTAAATGGTAGTCTGAACATTTTCGCAGAACATGCTACTAATTCTGTTAGAATTTAACACGCATATTATAAAAACCCTCACTATCTCCGAGGGTATTTAGGAATTTCGTCGTTATATCAAATAAAGTTTTGCTTCACTTTTATATTTTGTTTTCAACTTATGCAATATTTGCAAAGCAGATGTTGTTCCATCCAAAAGTGGATTTTGCGCCTGTATGTACACGTTTAATGTCCTCGAATCGTGTTTACATTTCCCTTACCTGCAAGACAGACTTGTGTGAGCTGACATTCAGCACACGTTCGTCCTGCAATTTATGCTTCTTCCACGTCCATTCGAACGTCGGCGGCGGCTCGGCGTCCACCTCGCATGTGAGATTGACATTGCCCCCGATGAATCCCCATGCGTCCTCGCTCTTCGCATACACCGGATGCTTAAAAACGGGCTGGTCTAAAAACACACACACAAACTTTACCATTTTAGCGTGGAACACGTAAAAGATTTTCTATTCTCGGCGCTGTTAATTATTAAGCTTTTAAAAAATTAGTTTACTGCTGCGTTAAAAATGAATGCGCAAGATACTTTGATAGCGAATTCAGTACATGTTTAAATTGAAAGTTTCAAGCTTCATCACAAGATGAAATGTGGTTAGTTTCTGTCTATGCGCCAGGCGGCACGGCTCACTCATAAGATATGGTGGCATGTTGGCAGTGCCGTCTGAGAAACCTTTGAAACCAAATTAAATTAATTAATGGCAAAAGTGCCTTCCTCCCGTCTATCGCCTTTCGCCACGCGAAACTTATATTCCGAATAGATTTAAATGCAAGAACAGATTTCAATTAAAAGTTTGTTCTAATGAGATATATTCAGTTGCCATTCAGCGATTCGAGCTCATTAAGCAACACTAAATTTCCGCCCGACCACAATAACCTCGCGCGATTAATAACCAAGCCAAGTGTTTGCGAATATTTACTATCAAATTTTATCCATCAATTTATTTTGAAACGATTCTATAATAAAGATAATTAAGGACGAGGCAGTTTTTAAAATTAATCGCGTGAATGTTGATTAATTAATGGCGGTTATGAAAGTTGTACTTACGCTCGACTTTAAGCTGGATTTTTTGCTCGCGGATATCGCCGGTGCTCGGCTGCATCGCCTGGCAGACGAACATTTTGTTATCGGCGCGCGTCACGTTCGTGATTAATAATCCGTCGCCGATTACTTTGTAGCGTGGATCTGCAAATGAACAATTAGTTGAGGCCCCGAATAGACGTACAATAAATAATGCAAGTGAAATAACATAGAAACAGAATTGGTTATTTGCATGCAAATTTTATGAACAATTGGAGGACAGTACATTACATTAAATTAACTGCAAACAAATAAATTTCCCACGTGGAATATAAACAAGCTTAAATCAGTGGTGTTTGTTTTAAATTAACATCTATAGGAAAAGCAATAAATTTGTTTCCCGCGCCACCACAATGATTATTTCAATTGGAAAAGTATGGATTTCTTTCATGATTGCAATATAAAAAATAATTTAATATGAATTTAAATATTAATAAAATAGTTTAATTCATTGCGATAGTTCAATGCATTTTCCGAGTCAATATTAGTATATCAACCTAAAATCCGACCAAACTACAAATGAAATGTATGCATTAAAATAGCTCAAAATTCAAACCAAATATTCGTCAATATTGTGTTTCTGTGAGTTCGCAGCGATGTACCGCACTTATTTTTGCAATAAATGACAGAAAATATTAACTATATTGCTATAAAATACAATATCACATGCGCACCGGTCAAATATCAGATAAAACTCATACGATATACAATAAACACAGCAACTCTAACAAATATTTAATTATTTTGACGAGTACTGCGCGCTGTGGTTCATTAAAACACATCAAATATTCTCCAATTAAAATAGTCCCGTCTACACCAATTAAAATGTTGTGTATAAATAAAATGTGTCAGATTTTCACAAAACCCACTGTGCGGATAATACTCATCGAGAGTATTTGTGGTTTCGGTCAACTCACAGCGCAACAAATGACCCTTTCGGGTCGGTTTTAGTGGAAATAAACCAATAGCAACAATTTCTGTCTATTTGTATTTGTGTGCGCGCTCCTCGAAGGAACACAGTGGGAAATAATTGGCATTAGTATTGGAGATATTCGTTCAGCGGGTCGCATTAAAGAGGTTTCTTAAGCCCGATCGTGCTCGTCTGCCGACGCTCGTGTCTCCCCTGCGTGTTCACTGATCGGACGGGGGTGGCCGCACGCAAGCCGTCGGCCGGGCGGTCGCCGAAGCTATTAGTTTTTTCGATCACGTACGGCGAATTCATTGCGTCGCTGCTTGATTATATGCCCGCCCGATGCTTGCTTACAAATCGTCCGCTTCGCTAAAGAGTCGTTATTAAAAATCGATGACGGCTCGGGCGGTCATTAGCTCTAAACGGCCGGAAGCTGTGCTAAGCTCGGGGTACTTGCATCGAGGTCGCATTTCTTTAGGGAATATTTCCGCAGCCGAGGCGTGAAAAACGTGTCCGAGGCATTACCGCATCATAATTACAATCAATACTTTTTTAAATTCGTTAATAACCGTGAAACTCTTCGAATCATTCCAATCATCCCTAATTTCCACGCTTTCGCAAACCGCATCGTAATCGTGGACCATCTGCGCCGAGACACACACCCGGTTAATTTCCTTGCACTTATGTTGTGCTGCAATGAGCTAAAATTTTAATGACCAAACACCCTCTAGGTCGCTCGGATATCGCGAGCGTGGTGACACTTTTCGTTAATGCATGCGAGCACACCCGCGGCGGTGGTCGTTTAAATGCGATTCGACCGCAAATCCGCAGCGCGTGGAAATGTATCTCAATTCGCTTCGAGTTTCCACGTCTCTGGTCGTACAAGAGGACGCATTTGGCTTTAATTTAATTTTGATACGGTGAGCAATTAATTGCGATTAATTAATGAATGGGCAATTTAACTTGCGTCCACGTTGAATTTACTACTGCTATCGCAACTACTGTTACTTTATTAAGTTTTTAATGTCTTTTGTACATCCAGCTTATAATGAGTTTGATACCTTGCAGCGGGCAGGTCTTATAACATCTCTAGTCTTGGAATATTCTCGCACAACATGTCGCCGTATAATCCATTCACAATCATAAGCCCTTTGGTATTAATTATTCTCTGTTTAAGCGGACGCTATATGTTGCCGCCGGTGCTTGTCTCGTCACCTGAACGTACGCCAGCTACTAACCGACTCCGCCGCCCCCGCCTCATTTGATATAATCAATGCCTACGCAAATGTCTATGATGCGAGCGGTCTTAATGGAAGCTCTATTCGCATGCGACATGAATTGATTCAATTATGTCAGTTTCTATTATATTTGGATTTGTTTGTTGGTCTAATCGACAGTGCATAAGCCCGATAACAACGATTGCTTGTTGGCTGCATCAATATCGCGGATTACCGTCGCCGTGTTAATTCATCGCATAAAGTGGTGCTACAAAGCGAAATTGATACATTTGCTGGCCGAGGCTTTTACTGAGTGGAGAGAATGTGTGCGAACTCGTAAACATTGATAAACCGAATTTGCATGCGTTTACTCTACATACATGCGAAGAATGCCAACAAAATAGAAAAAATAAAAAGAAGTTCAGGCATTGAGTGCTCACCATCGAGTTTTTTATTGTCGACGCTCCAGGACAAGATGGGTTTGTCGCTGGCGTCGTCGCCCTTCACTTCACAGCGCAGCGTAACTGGGGTAAATTCTCTTCCGGTCTGCACCGGTGATGTGTCCATAAAAGTCAACGGCGCTGAAAAAGAGCAAACACATCTGATTAGACGCTTGCATTAATTTTTTTGCTCACTAAAATGAAAATTATACAAAATTATTCATCTTTAAAAAAATCTCAGATGAAAAATACATCCGAAAGCTGATAAAACTTTAATGAAACTATTATTTATAAATTTTTCACTCCAAATCAGCTTAGCATGTCTAAAATCTCTCTCTGGGGTTTTATTTCGTTATTGAAGAATTTCGCGCTGACACTTTCATCAGCATCACACCCAAGAAACGAATCGCAATTTACAAGTTTTACGAGCATCCGAAACTAGTAAAACGGAAACGAGCCAGATCCGGCCGGCGACGACGAGCAACGAATAAAACACCACCCCCGCGCGCGAGAGCAAAAGAAAAATAATTAAAGAACTCGCCGGCGCTTGTTACTCAGCGGCCCGCGAGCGCTGTACCCACTTGCGCTTAAATAAAAGTCGCGCGCGCGGTTCCGGTGACCTAGATTATCCTAATTAAAACAGATGGCACATGAAGGTGTTGGCGCTGTACTCAGGGGTGCTCATAAAACGGAGCAAGGATGACAAGAAAAGTACATTGTTAAGGTGAACACGTGACAGTTTGCAAAGGTCGCGCGCGCGACAAAGAGTAAAAAATGAAGAAATGCGAAAAATTATCGCACGTGCTCACAATAACGAGATATAACGAGGCGTTGTTAATAATATGACTTCCGCGTATAAATAAAATAAATTCAACTTCTGGAACTTCCAAAAGTGACAACGGAATTTAGATAGGTGGAACCTTTATGCTTCTAAAATCAGCAGTCGACATATTTAAAATGTATACACGGCATAAATACTCGTACATTGCTCTTACTGCACAGAATTGCATTGTACAGAATGAAACGCATGATAACAGCGCATGGAACTATTTGTGTAACCATGAGGCGTAGCGGGTGCATTAAGAAGAACACGCTGATATGAAAATGGAACAAGCATGTCGCATCTTACACACAAAGATGCTACCCCTGCACACGTACGACCCTATCGTATGCATATAAGACCATAAAGACTATGAGGAATTAGTGCACGGCGAGAGATACAGTTGTACGCTTATGTTATGATAGAAATATATCACGGCAACTATTTCTTATGTTAAGAGACTCATTTCGGTTTCATGGCGCATGATTTTACATTTGCATTTGCGCATAAAATATATTTACTATTTATGACCTTATAAATTTACATGAAGGTAATTTTGGAATTTACTCATTTGATTGATTGTCCAATTAATGTAGTTCGAGATTGTTACACGAGTGAATGAGCAACTTATTAAACGTTACACGTTTTATTGGTAACATGTTTCAACGCGCTGAGTTGATTAAACGATGGATATATTCGCAGTGAGGCCATAAAACGTTTAATCAAGTCCCACCGAACGCCAAACGCATTGCGACGAGCTCAGTGAGCTCGCATCTCGTCTTAGATCTGATATCATATCATCTCATATTTCAACGTTGTTTAATTAACATCGTTGTAAATGAACTGTCGCGATCAGTGCATTATGCAATATGTAACGTGGTAAAATAATGCACTATTCAAATCAAAACTGAATATGAGCCAGATATGACACAATAACAGTTGATAAAATGAATAACAAATAACATACCCGTAGCACAAAATAACAGATCACTACGCACTAATAAAAACACGGCAGAACTAAGCGAGAGACATTTGCACGCGGCGCTGCAAAGGAGACTTACCGGTAGAGTCGCTCGCGCATGCGCTTTGTGTAGTTGGGGTAAAACGGAACTGGACTAAAGAGAGCGGTCCAACTCGCATTATTCTCAACTACAAACAAGTTGATTATGTTGTTTGTGCGTGCCTGTGGCGCTTGAAGTAGACTTTTAAAATTCCAATTTATTTCACATATTCTTTATTTGCTATTTACATTTCCGAGCGTAGTTGAACAACGCCGGAATTCAGCAAGATTAATGGAGGTGCCGGCCGCAGACACATTCGTTCATTTTTTCCGGCCGCGCAATTTGCTCGCCGCGTATAATTAAAATATGTAAATCTATGCAAATAATCTGGCCATTCAGAAATTAATTTCTCAAAGATATCGATCCTGTTCTCCAGCGCTAAACAAATCTCTGAAAACACAACATGCGAAATTATGATTACATTCCTCCCAATCAGTATGGTAGTCATATTTGCCCTCTGGAGCGCACAATACGCAATTCTAAATTTGTTTGCTTCCTCGGCGTTTTGATAATTTCTTCCTCTGTCGGCCGATAAAGAAAGAGAAATAATTTAACGCTTCGTCTAACATCGATGTCGCACAGCCCAATCTCGTTCTCTTCGGGCGACGAGCTTTCCGAGAAAGCTCGGGATTGTGGGAGATACCTTCGGTGCGCGGTGCGACTTTTTTCTTTGCTTTGCCCGTCGACTTTTAGAATGTGGAGCTTATTTTCCATCATAAAGCGACAAATAAGTCAGTCACACACTTCACGTTATACTGATGCGAGAGGCACCCAGCCTCTCTGGGTTGGCCGAAAAAAGCTCATTCAATTTCCCACCTTTTATACTTTAGTTTTTCGGTTGGGCGTCGTTCGAGGACGGCTTTCTCTACAAATCAGTTTGCAATTTTGCGCTCAATGAACCCATCCTCGTCTAATTTATTACCAATTGGGAGCGCCAATGATTCATTTAACTTTTCCGGTACGGAAAACGAAAGCCGCATCGTTGCAAGCAGGATTGCACACGCACTTGACTGTCCGAAACGGCCGTCGAGTATATTAGTTTAGTGTAATTTCGGAACACATATTGCCTGCATAAAGCAATTACGGCTACTCGTCACTATCTCCAGTTGAGATTTATGTGCTTTATATGGCCCATTTTTATTGAGGGTCATAAAACTTTACCGATTGCGCCGAAAAAATACGCTTTTCATAGGTAATTACAAAATGACTTACTTTTGACAGTCAGGGAAAACTTTTTGGTCTCCTCGCCAGCTTTGCAGGTGTAGACCCCAGCGTCCTTAACGTTGAGACCATTGAAGTACAAAGACGTGCCGTAGGAAGCCACTGCAACCCTTGGTTCCGTCTTTAACCCCAAGGGGCCTTTGGGACCACTCCATTCTACCGTCCGCCCACTTACATCCTTGCAGGTCACTAGGAAGGTATCACCCACATGCTTAATTATGCTTTCATGCGATAATTGCAGGTGACCACAGCACGTATGTATAAAAACCGTCAAAAGCACCAGATGAATCCAAATATCTGCAAATGAAAGAAAAATATATTTAGTATAAAGTAGGATATTTACTCCAGGCAATTTCTTTTTGGAAACAAGATGTAAATTTGGTTTAATGAGAAAATTTACAACTTCCTCCAAGCGTAATCCGGTTTGTGTTGTCTCATTTTCGGTGTGGGCAATTTGTTTCCCACCTTGATTCATTTGCCAAGCAACAAAAACACGCTTAATACAAAGTGTTACCGAAAATATACCTCAATAATAACACCCACGAAGGAAATTGTCTGAGAAATTGCAGCGGCATTGTTTTAATAACGCCTTCAGATGATCCAGCTTATTATGGAGTTAATGCAAACGCGTAACAAGTTAAACTTCCTCGAAACTCGAGGGCAACTCCGCAACATCTCGTATATATCTACACCATGGTGGGTAATAAGATGTACAGAACGTGGCTGTAGTGCGAATGCAGAAAACCAAATCTCCTACTTTCGGTTTATTACAAGATGACTAGCCGCGTGCGGAAAATGCATTTAATCCGTGTTACTGCGCCCTTAAGAGCGGCGCGCAGCCGGAGCGAGACGGACAGATGATGGTGTGCGGATGGCGCGGAAGGAGGCGGCTAACGCGCCCGCGTCTTAGGAGAATTTTACGGTTAGCAAGACTTCCTCTATGCCGCCACATTCAGAGCGAATGCAATGGTTTGCTTCGCATGGTTTTATTGCTTGTTGGCGACTACGAAATTGGAGAAGTAAAAATGTTACAAGGTATACAAAGTAAATTAAGAAGGGAACTAGGAAAAACCTACGACTGGGAATAAACATGGCGTACACAACACATTCGGAGCCAAATTGGTATAATAAATTAATTTGTGCTAACATAGGAGGGTAATAGAAATGTCCTTCAGGTATTCAATTGGATAAAACTCGCAAATAAAAACAAAAATAGCAAAATTTTTAACAACAGCAATAATTCAATGTACGTTTTTTAAAATAATAGTTGATGATGATAAATCGTTGTAAAAACTCGAATCCCTTGGAGACACAACTTACTCACTTTCAAATATAACAAAAAGCTACAGAATATATCGATTTCTCTGTGATTTGTTCGCATTTTTACGTAGATGATATAAAATCTGCAGTTTTAAATTTTCACGCGTCAGAAAACGATTCCTCGAAAAACGTTTTCGATTTATTTAAATAATAAATACGTGGTTATTTGTCGAATTGCAGCAAGTGTATTTGTTATGAAACACAATATTTTGCTAAATCTCAAACACGTGTTTGCGATAAATAAAATTCGAGCACCGGCGTTATTGAAAACTTTTTATTTATTGTTTCAATAAAACTCACAAACGAACAAAAACTATGAAGTAAGAATTTCCGAAGACGCGCAAGCAAAGTGTATCAATATACAGTTAGGGTTGGAATTGTATAAATATGTATCAAGTGGAGACCCGTTCATTATTATGATCATAGTCGGCTATTTTCATAAAAACCGACTACTGCAGAGCTCAAGAGACTCGTTAGGGCGCGCATGCCGAGCAAAACAATCTCGTGACAATTTGCCAAGCCAACGACCGGTATTGATAAAATCGACAAAGTTAGTTGCGGAGGATGTGGGTCAGCGCAGAAATCTAAGAAAGTTACTTTTTTGCAGCTGATGCTTATTGGAGGACGATGGCTTCGATCTTCCACTTATCACTAATCTTCTACTTCAACTCTTCGAAGAGAAAGAGAATTTTCTTCATATAGCAAATACCAGCATCGTCGGACAAAACCAAAAGAGACTATTACAACAAGGAATTATTTTATATTACTTTTCAAACTACTTTTGTTAACACGACCTAACCTAACCTCAATGATGCGCTCTGGTCAGAGAACCGGCAGTAATACTCTACGTTTTTATGAATGTAGTAAAAGATCCATCGAGCAAACAGGATGCGAATGTTCAAACACAAACATACACTCTAAAGGAGTGTCATCAATTTCAGCGAGAAAGCGGTCGTGCTCATCGATGGCACTCATATAATATCAACGTTTGTCGTGTACGCCAGCAACACACCAACAACATCCCTGAGGGAACGAGGATGAGAAAAGGAGTCCCGTTGAGAAGCAAATAATGTGAGTTACGCACGCTAATAATTCTATGTTCCATTCAGCTGTGGGCGGACTGGCGCGTTCGATTCGTGCGGATCGGATGTCTTTTCACTACGAGAAAATGTTTTATGTATTATAGAAAGGAAAAAAGAACGGAGAACGTTATTAATCATAGCGAGACACATTCAAACCCATTCAGAAAATGTACGATTCGTAAAATAGAAAATAAACAAAAACGAAATTTTTGCAAATGTAGAAAAATGAATTGCTAAATCTGTTAGTAAGCGCATAACTCAACAACGCCTTGACCAATTTGGCCAATTCTTATTTTAAAATGTTCGTTAAAGTCCAAGGATGGTTTTTACGGCAAGAAAAAATCGAATAATTGTCGGAAAAAACCTAAACCCTTTTCAATAGGATAAAAGTTGGCATCGAGATTCAATAATAGTATTAGTTAAATAGTTGAATCCTAGATGGCGCGTTGAAGTGCATTATTAGCAATTCTTTATATAATTAATTTCTTTAAAATAAAATTGCGAATCATATTGATAGAGTTGACACATTCTATGTCTAGAACAAGAGAGTAAAAGCAAATTACATTAATATTAAACACTACCGGGCAAAAGGTAATTTTAAATAAAGTTAACACAAAATCAGAGTTAGAATTTGATAAAACGTTTGAGATATTTTACGACCGCGAGCACATAAATGGCTTAGTCTTAATTACAGAAAAGAGGCGACTCAAAGTGGCACTGAGTTGAACAAATGGCGGCAATAAAAGTAAATTACGACTTTTCGAAAGATTCACTTACCTATCTTTATTTGTGCCCGCGGCTTAAAAAAACGCAATGCCACCTTACGCGACATTTAATTGCCGAGTGCTCTGGGATAAAAGCTCATTTTAATGCTAAAGTTTGTCATTACGCGTTTATACTTTCGTGTCGCGCTTGTAATGAAACTACTCTCGAAAATGGCAAACGGCAGCGGCAAGTTGGCCGGCGTTGTGCGCTTTCTGGTTGTTGTTGTACAGGCATACAACACACAACATCCATCAAGCGTTTCTTGCACGACGCCGGCACTGATTTAAACTTTATAAACTATCCTCACACATGAGGAACTCAATTTCTCGCGAATGCGGATTTACAGCTTGTTGTAAACAGCATTATATTTTAATTATGTACGTATTATTCTATTATACAATAAAATTTCTTTAAAATTTCAATAAATTAAGTGTATAATGACAAAATAATAAAAATATAAAATAAAAAACGTTTAATTTATTTCTAAATATTTTATTTTGTAATTTTCTAATGTAATATTCTCTCCAGTAGGGTTCAGATCATATAACGTCTTCATGTTCTGGTTTTCCTAATCCCAAGTGCGTCTCACATTAAGTTTTACTCATACTCAAACTAATACCAGCTGCCATTCTCATGCATACTGGAATGTCACCAGTTCACCACCAACTACCCTTATGCTGTGGAAGCATTGAGTTTCTTTACACATTGAAAGGACAACCCACCCGCACCCACATTCGGAAACTTTGCACATAACATTGACATTTTAATCGGCGCGCTTCTATATCAATACTTGTACGCCATTATGGAGGTAAAGCTGGAATTCCTCGTGGACTAGTACATTACCAGGAGGATCACTATGGGGTAGGTAAGTATCGCACCGGCACCGGTGTACAGAGCGAAGTGCATAGATAGCGCTGTTTATTAATTCACGCGCTGGGTAAATAAATTACAAGAGGTTAAGATCGTGTTGAGGAGATGTCAGACGAGTAAAGGTTGGATACGTAATTAGTGATTAATAAACGAACAACTTGCACGGCTTGTTTCATCGGTTATAGAGGATGGTAAACAAAAACAAAAAGTGTTTGCTTTGTTTCAAAACTAATATTTTCTGATTATCCACGGGATAATTTGAAAGTAATGTAAACGCTCCCCTCGGATTACACGTAATTTAGCAAATCTGCGGCATTAAAAAGTCGACATTACGCGCGTTTTCCCTGCGGGGCGTGTTGCTGCAGGTCAAAAATTTTCATTAAGCGAAATAAATTCGCACCGCTTGTGAATAAAATCTTTAGACGCGAGCGAAACGACTGCACCCGCGCTAATAAATTCCGCGTTAACGGGGCCCAGTCTCGGCCGGCGGGGGCGCCAAAAACGTTAACGAAAATACGAACTCGCCCACGGCCTTAACGCGCGCGCCGCTGTGATATACGGAATGGGAATGCGTCTTTCTCGCCGCGGTAGTTTTTATTAAAACCGCCTTTAAAAATTATTGCGGATGGTAATTTCTCCCGCACTCCGACACCGCCGACACTCGCGCTCGGTGATTTTTTGCGTTGTTTGCGTTTTTCGCTCCGACGTCCTGATATATACGCGGATAGTTTTTGTTGGATTTGAATTTGTACATGTCGCACTGATAACACTCTAGCCACATTTCCAATGGAAAAAAAGTTAAATTCAAATTTAAAAACTATTATTTTTGCCAATATCGGAAAAAATTGAAAAATAAACCAAAAATTTCAACATACACTATGTCCCAAATTTAAATTTAAAATTAATGTAAATTTTGTGGGTTAATTATTCTGGGTCTTGTACAAATGGCAGAAATTCCATGCGTTGCGTGGTGTTAACCCACAACATAATCTAGTGCTAGTAATTGTAGCTTAAATCGTAAACTTAATTTGAATTACAAACGCAGATTTGTCCCGACATCATGTTGATTGTATATTCTACATCTACAATCTTCGTCGAAGCCAGCAAGAGAAAAAGTTAATTTAACTCCATGGTCATCACAATGCACTGATTCCAATAATACTAATCGTGCAGCGTAAAAGTTATTATTTTCTTCGGAAGTAGATAGACAGAATCCAAACACCGAAGCGAATTAACCACCGAAACCGATGCAGAGGGTAGGCTAATAGTATTCTACATCGTGGCTGGCGGAGATGTGTGAGCGCATTAATTTTCCCGTTTAATTAAATTGTAACTTATCTGCATTGCCCTCCGCTTCGGATTACATAGTTTAATCAACTGATTAATTATTTAAAACCGGTTTAATTAAGTTACATGCTACAAAAAGTGCTGAAAACTATTTCTAGAAGAGTGATAAATAAAAAAGTTGTAAAAAATCTTAGATTTTTTTCTCTGTGTGTGAAGAAAAAAGTGTTCCTAGAGCGAGTCTGACACATACCGGCCATAAATAAGCCGATATTGCATTCCTTTAGCAAACGTGAATTAATTTAGGCCCTCGAAATGATTCCGGCGCGCCGCAACCGCGGAGCCTCTTCTAATTCCCATTTGGAGAGCGAAATCTTACCGAATGAGAGATTTTGCCGGATTTTTTCTGGCGGCACCAGCCGAGGGGTGAAATTTATGAGCGGCGCGCTATCAAACTCTCTTTAACAGATCAAACTTATAGAAAAAGCATTCATTTGCTGTTTAATCTCATATTAATTACATTTTGACGTTATGAATAAAAACACAAGTTTTAAAGTTTCACTAAAAAAATTTAAAAAAAAAATAGTTCGAGATACTATAAAATGCGTCTGTGTGGTTTATTGAACCAAACAAAAATTTATAGTCATACTCCAAGTTAACATTTGTTTTAATAATGCAAGTTAGCTGGCTTTTCTTGAATGTACCACCGCGAAAAAGAAAAATATTAGAGGTAGTCGCAAATGTTGACAGCACAAGTGCTTCCTGAATAAATTAAGAGTACGGTAGTGCGCATTAGATCCACTGGATCCACTCCTCACATACACCACTTATCTTCCTTTGCCGTACAACGCATCCCGGTCGCATCCGCAGCCAATGCGAACGCAAACAAAGTGTGTGTACAGAAAAGAAAAACAGAATATTGCCCACTTTACTTGCCGCAAACAAACAATAACGTTGTGGGTATTAAAGAAAAAAGAAAAAAGATATAAATATAAATAATATATAAATAATTATTGCATTGTTTTATAACATTGGATAGCGGATGAATTTTTACATGAAAACCGTGTACCTAGTACATATTAACATTCTATTAAAATTAAATTTTTAAACAAATATTTTTCACTCTCGCGCGCGGGAAATTGTTGTCTTAATTAGTGGTACAAAAAAAGCGCACATAAACTCAACAAGAATAATCAAATTTGCCATTTTTTGCGCTGCGGTTCGAGTTTTGATGCTTTGTTTCTGAGTTTTTCATTTTCAAAAAAACCTTTTGTTACTAAATTAGTATAATATCTTTTTTGCACTTTTTATTTCTTTACAAACACGTTAAATTTACTTTTCACACATAAAATATAAAAATATATTACAATTAGTGTAAAATTCGTATGACTAACAAACTCCAAACTAGTGAAAACACTACTTTTCCATTAGCCAATTAGATGCATCATTAATGCTGCTAAAATGGCGCGGTACACTCTGAATTTTTGAAAACCGGTCCCAAATCTCCAAAAACCCATTTTATTTTACCCTAAATATTTTTATCGCTCGTTTTTCATCGATATAAAACCGAGACGTATACAACTTGAATACATATAAGGTAATTAGTGCGAACAAAAATGTTCGCTGTCCTCCAGCTGTGCGCTAGCGGAGAGAAAGTCGCTGCAGGACAACTCGGAACGAAAAGTTTGAAAAGTCTCGGAATAATGGCGCGCTCACAATTAGCTTTTTCTTCTGGGACACGAAATTCATTAAAGCAATTTGCATTCTTAAGAGGCGCCGCTGGCATAAATTTTAATTTACTTCAAACACAATATATATCAATCGGTTTCACACCGAAATGCGCGCGTTAAGTCTGCCGGAAAAACTAGAACTAAATATGTATAGAATTTCGGCAAATTTGCACGTCGAATTTCATGTAAAATTCAAATAATCGCTGGATATTTGATGATGTGGCTCGCGTGGAGATTTCGTTATTATCATTATGAAATTCCGCGCGCATAACTTGCATTAAATTTCATCGTTTAGGAAAACGAGTCTTTGTAAAGCGCTCTGAACGGAAAACGCGCTGAGTGTTTCTATTAAAGCGAGCCAATCGCCCAATATACAATATATTATCGTTTGATTCTGCGCTGCAATCGGCGATAAATTTAATAAATGCTTTCAAAACTGGCGTCATTATTGAATCAATCGCGAATTTTGCTGATTGCCGGCTATTATTTGCGATATAGTGAAATAGGGATTATCGATTGCTCCTCCACCAAGCGACCGACATGGATAAAATATTAATTAGCGCAAATAGACGAACTTGTTTTGCATAATTTATTTATAATTACGGCGAGTATTGTCGTGTTTATAATTAAAATTAAAATTTATATTATTTATGGAGATAATAGAATAATGAAACCGATGGTCTTATTGAGATATTTGCACAATCAAAAATAGATCAAAAATAAAAGCGTGTAAAATGTACGGTAGCGAAATTAAATTAGATCAAGGCTTCCGGTGCCGGATGGCACTCTTAAATAATTCATTCCATAGCAGTGTGCCATCCCACGCCAAAAACCTTTCATCACCGCAGAAACTTTGCCTTCCGGTATTCCGATTTTCCAGCTCTGCGTACGTGACGAATCCATGCGTTCTTAAACGCGCATGGACGTGTCACGTACCCCGGCTGCAGTTTGTGATTGTCATCTCTCGTCGATAACGCACACACACTCAGACCAAAAGTCCAATATGAAAATAGGTAATGTCATCCGAATTGCGGTGCAGAAATGCTGCCGCCGCCGTGGAAAGAAGTCGATCTAATGGCACTGGTACCGCAGTGACTATAAAAATCGGTTTCACATGTGCGATTATGCACAAGCGGAGCGCGCAGCGAGTTTTATTCCTCCCAGATGCGCGATTTGCCATCAGGTCTCGTGCTCGCGCCATTAACATCGATAACGTGCGCGGCGCGCACAACCGGCCGAATTGCTCTACAATGGCTGCGTGCCCAAACGCGCTGCAGGGTCGGGAAATCAAAATAAAAATATGAATAAGATAAATTGCGCACGGCGGGCCAGAAACGCGCAACATCTTGCGCGGAATCCATTAGGAGTAAACCGGAAGTAAACGAATATTCTCTCTGGTAGGTATACCTCAAGAAATTAGATGGCAAACGTATAAATTCCGCTGAAGGAAAATCAATATGCAGATGTAATATGATAAAAAATGTATCGAAACGCGCAAGTTTACGATAACAATATATTTTTCACCTGCGCGCGGCGCGGAGATCTGTTGCGGTTGCTGGAACTGTCCTTAGATGTTTATTTTGTGTTGCCAGGTGTATTGCCAGGAGGCATATTCGAAGGGCACGTAGGTGCCATCGGTATTCCTTATCGAAACCGAGTACCGCCGAAAGGGTGATGTATTATTTTCAACCGCAACCTCAATAACAAAATCACGGATTATCCTGCGCAGGATATTTACAACTAGCGAACAAATGTATTTTCTATATAAATATAAACGTGTATTTTGATTAACCGGTGTTTAAATTAAAAAAGTTGTGCTAATAAATTAGATTCAAGATAAATTTAAGCATTTTTATTAAAACTGAGCAAAGCGCGACTCTTAAACGACTCAAGTGAAAAGTGTAAAGTTTTTTTGGCGTCTTGATTCTCATATTTTTAGCGGATGGTGAGTGGCTTGGTGAAAAATGTCGCACTGAAATATTGTGTTTTCCACAAAACGTACTTTTCACCGCATACGAACAAAATGCGAACATTTCAACATTAGTTATTAAAGCTGCGCGTTTTATATTCGACATTAATCGTACATTTCGAATGCATTTTGCATCGCGAGATCGCGACACGTAGACGTCCGCATAAATGTAAATCATAAAAGCCGGCAACGTTGCGCAATGTAATTTTTTATTATTTGCGCAATAAAGACGAGCGCGCCGAGCACTCCCTGATGGTTTATTACTTTCGAAGAGTTGAGATTATGAATTTTTACCATGATTTTGGTATTAAAAACGCATAAAATTTTATTTTTATTTCAATCCCGCTGACAAAGGTGCTGATGTTCCTAAAAACAAATACAAACATATCTAGCGTATCCGCCCAGTGCACACAAACTTTACTCGCAAGTCATTAGAATTCATGAACATGTGTTACATGCGAATGTTCATTTACGAACAATGGCGCAACCCGAAAATTCGGCGACAAGTTATTCACGGTGAAAACTGACAACTGCTTCGGTGTAACTATCCATGAAAAAATAATCAACTTTATAAAATGTTCAAAATCATTTTTTGAACGCTGCGCATCCATAAAACTTACTCCTGCGGTAGTTAAAGCTAAAAGAGCAGAAGAAAATTTATGTTTGCAGCCACGCGAGCTACCTGATAGTGATTTTTGTTATGAAATATGTATGATGCGGGATGGAATCAAAGCGTGTGGCGCAGTACAAAGAGTAAAATGTACAGAACATCTTACATTGTAGCATCTAAGCGTTCTCGTGGTATAGAGAAGCTAAAAAGAGCGAAATATCTAGTGTAAAATATATTTCCAGCAAGCGCAAGTTGAAGTTTATAGTCGAGCTAAGAAAGTAGAAATCCACCCCCAACGGTTTAACCCCGGAGAAGTATTAAAACGTGGATGTACAGAAAAGTTATTAGACGTGCACCTGAAAAGGGTTTTATTTTAAGTCAAACAAATTATTATTCTGTATTCCAAGCGACGTTTATGAAGATTCCGCAAAGTTTCGCTAGATCAAAAGATTTACGCAAATGATTTTTTGTGCAGAAAATAAGAAACTTTCAAAATGAAGCATTGTTTATAAAAGTTTACGAAATGAGTTTCAAAATTCTTACCTTTGAAACGTGCAAAGTGGATTGTCCCGTTTGTAACGTGATTTTTCCTCATCATGGCATTTAAAATTCCTTTGTCGCACAACAAGAGTCTGAAATCAAAAAAGAAAACTGTTTCACCAACTTTGTTTTCTTCGCCGCTTCTTTTTGTCATTAGAAAGAATTCCAGTTAAAGTGAAATACAAATTGTCCCCCTAAAAACAATACAAAATATTTAATCCCTTCGGAATTTTCAATAATGATTCAACTTTTACGCGAAACTTTTGCGCAAAAATTATTTTTATTGGATATTCAAGATAATCCGATTATCGCATGCGGAAAACTTTTTCGCTGGGATGTTTTCAAGGTTTACCGTCACATTCAGTTTGGGCCCGCTTGTTTGCTTTGTGTACTTTTACACCGCCCAAGTCCCTTACGCCTTGGTCTTGTTGTTTTCTTTCCATTTCAAGCGCGGCGCGTGTCAACGACGCGTAGTGTTTTAAAGCACAATCAACTGAACTAAACATTTAAAAAACTTTCGCAAGTTTGTTATACTGATTACAAACACAAACTTTTACTTCTTCGTCTCTGTTTTTTTTTTGTGCCCTGCCGTCATCTTCGTGTTCCTTTTTCGCGCTCGTTTCCTCAACTCTGGCTCTTGACTCTACTCCACACCACTCTCCTACGTTTTTTTTTCATCTGCTACTTTACCTAACTTGTAATTAGATAACTTTCTCATTCTTGCGCGAATACTTTTTTTCGGAATGTTGCTGCCGTTTTATGAACCCGTGCCATATTTTCGTCGTATCTTCGTTTTTTATTGCTCACGCTCACGCTCAAATCAACTTAACTCAGCTTAACTTATAACTTGTCCAAGAAATAAACGAGCTTTTAATAGCAGGGGCGCAAAAATTAAGCGACCATGACAACTGCCGCGTACTTTTTTTTTTCTATTTTAAAAGTGTGTGTTCTGCTCGGTTAACTTTTTGATGTCGAACGATTAAATTTATTCCATGCATCGTGCGTCGGAAAAGTATTCAATGTGAACAGTCTCGTACATACGGATGTTAAAATTGAATCGCTAAGAGCCAATATATTCAAGTTTGCTGTTTGCAAACTTTTCGCTAACTTAATACTCAGCAGAAAAAAGACGAACGTCGCTGCTTAAAGATAGAAACGAATAATAAAACGAAAGTTACAAAACAGTTTTTTTTCTTTTGACCTAAAAGTGAATAACTTTCCGAATACTATAAAATTCTATAATAATTTTTCTTCGTGAGCCAGATAAGCACATTTGAAATGTAAGTTGAGTGGGATTAAAGCGCCAAGTTATTAATATTTCTGGATATTTGTGAAATCGGATCATTGTTTTCGTACTTTGAAAAGAAAATATGATTTATATAAAAAAACTTTTTTCATTATCCTTCTGTTGTTTCAGGCTTTATACTTTCTTGATATTAATAAGTACCACTGTCTAGACTCCTTTATTTATGTACAGTAAAAATTAATTAATAATCCAGTCTTACTGCGCTTTATTTTTGTTTATTTTTGCAAAAACAAAAAAAAATCGAAACATAAATCATTGAATACCGCCGCGCGTTATTACAATTGACGTCGGTCGGTGGCCAACCATCTTGAATTCAACGTTTGGTTGTTTTACAACAAACTCTTCTTTCGTTTTCCCTTCGTCAAACTCGACCGCTTGCTAGCTGGGGCCGCGCGCGGTCTCATCTCTGGTCATATTTATATTTTCATCTGTAACTCGCGTCGCTTTTGCAAAACGCCGAGGTTTTCGAAGCGTCGAGATCCGAAACAACTGCTGCACACGCTTGAACTTTTCCTCCAACTTAATACTTCCTGAAAAGAACTTGAAAGGGATAAAAAGGTACGAGGCCGGGGCAGAAACTTTACTTCGCCCAATGCTGGGGCTCGATTTTCGTAAGTTGTTTATATTACGACGATTTTATTCGCCGTTTATTTCCACTTATTTTAATTTAAGATTTTCCAAACTTTTACTTGACCGCACAGGACTAAACCCCAGCATACATTAATTATACCAACATATTTTATGTAATCCAAACTTTTAAATTAAAAATTTATTTCTTTCGTATCTAGTTAAAGCTTGTTATTTGCTGGTAACCTTTTTTATGTTTAAGAAAGTTAATGCTGGTTATCAAATGAGTTCAAAGAACGCCAATAAACAGCGGACAAAAGCAACGCGCACTTTGCCACATTTTAACATTTTATTTCCTGAGTGGAAAATAGAGCGGTAAAAACTGCGGCATGATTTCACCGCAAGATGGCGTAACTAGAATGAATGTTATATTCTTTCGCATGCAGTACGTCATTTTGTCGGATAGTGCGGTAAACAAGCGCGTACAGAATTCCGTAGCCGCACTCGCAAGTTATCCTTGTATCCTTTGACCCTTCTACTTTTCATAAATGATCGAAAGATAGGACGCAAGCGGCTTACGCCGCGTCGACAGACGAGGTCTACGAGTATCTATGTGACTGTTTTTTAAAACAAGGTACAAAACCCTCTGCAAGCCTCCAGGCGTCCACAACCCACGATCGTAAATATTCAAGCAGCTCAAAATGCATTTTTCCTATGGCGAGGAAAGCTTGGCGCAAACGTTGAAAAATGCTACTTTAAGGATGATGTGATCAATTCCACGAAAGGACCCGAGAACCTAACCACAAAGTATGTGGTTAGCATGCATAGAATAAGCAATTCATTGTGCGGTAGATCAATCCAGGAGTGAGAGTTTAGTTTTTGGCTGGTTAACTTTGATGGAGCGCGTGTGTGAAAAGAACGCGTCACATTGAAGGGGCTGAAGGGTCGACGGGTTGCGCAAACAATGTGTCCGACTGACCCGAACATAAATTCTAGCTGACATAGCTTGACACGACAACGTAAGGTCTGACTATCAACTAGTTTACACACACTAACAGATACAAAATAGGAAAATGTTAGAAATATATTCGCACAAGAATTAATTTGATTGCATACAAAGGATTTCACTTAATCCTCACTAATCTCTGGAGTATTCTATGTGGTTGTTAACGTCGTCTCACATCAAAATTGCTTGCTTGTCGGATTCGGGTGTTTCAAGGGTTTAATCACATCTATTATCAATCAGGGGGCAAATTGGCATGTCGGATCAAATGTCGGTCAGACAAAATCTAGGTCACTCTGGGGTGAAGAAGCAGTGTGCTGTCTTTTGTAACTTGGACCAGAAAAAAGAAAGAGACCTCGGAGAGTGCTCGCACGCCGCCCAGAGGTAAGCGTTATCGCACGCTGGGGAAACGTCCTCGGTGGTGTTTCGGTTAAATACGGAGCGCGCTCGATTTTTACACAAAACCACATTACTACAATGACTACATTTTGTCATTTACCGCTAACAAGTTAAACATTAATTTTAACTCAATGTAAGCAAAAAAGTAATGCAAACAAAATTTTATATTAATGTCGGTAGCACAAAAAATACGTGCAAAAATTCGTGGTGGAGGCGCCGCGCAACCGACATGCACTCGTTTTAAATCTAAATCCACACATGATTCAATCATAAATCACGGATATTCGTACGCGCGTTGTGGCATTTTCACTCTTTCGGCGAAAATTTCAAATTTCCTAAACGAGATTTTCATCCATTCGCAATAAAAACATTATTTTGTTAATTTCGATATCGTAAAATGCAAAAATATCACATATTTCAATATTGCACATGCTTATGACACTTTTTAAACAAAATTTAACTATTTCTTAATTTGTTTATGTAGTAAATATAATGTTTTGATGTTTATATGTAACACTCGGTGTAATTTTCGAAAATAATATATCGCACACGCTGAAAATGACTGCCCTAGTTGTATGTCAAAAAGTACATTAAGAGCGTGCACCCAGAGGGCAAAATATATGTCATGCCCCCCGCGCGTGACATACGCGATCGTGAGTATGACAGTTTCGGGCATAACCAGAAGCGAGCACCGCGAAACACCACCACGATGTGCAGCGCCGATAAACAAGCGAATGGCGCTGCCCCCGACGCGCATTAAACTTTGAACGCACTAAAAAGCACACCGGCTATCACATCCACTAGGCTAATATTTGTTACATCTAATTTAAGGCCCATATAATAATATGTCCATAAACTCCTTAATTAAACGCCGCCGTTGAGTGTCGATAAAAGACAATTGACGCGTTCTAAAACCCTCCGGTAAATTATTACGCGAATGTATCCACACACCTGGAAAACTGCGATATTTTGATGACGCTTTATTGCAAAGTAATTTTCGAGCGCTTAATGCTTTCGAGCGGTCTTCGCCCGAGCGCGTTCGTTACATTTATTAGGTCGAGAGGCGTTTACGGACGCAAACCAAACACTATATTAGAAATGAAAATAAATTTCGCGAGTCATTGAAAGCTCAACGTAATTGACAATAAAATTTAATATACACTGTGTGTGTAGGTGGTTGTAAAATGGGCAAATCATCACTACTAAACTAAAAATAATTAATTTAAAAAGAGCATTAAATCATGTTTTAAAGAGAGCGATTGTAAAACCGCCGATAATAAAATGATTATTGAACGTATCGGCAGATACGCGGCGCGGAAAGAAGCGGATATATCTGAATTCGAATAAAATATACATTTCAGCGTTTCCTTTACCACACGGCCCACTTCAATCACGCGCGACCGCTATCATACTCAGATGTTGCGTTGTATGTGTGCAGCGGTTTCAAGCAGTCGAACGATTCGTAAATGCAAATGCTAAAAAGCTAATGGATTACTTTCTACGTCTGCGCATCGCGAATAAAACAGTACTATATGTTTTTCATAAGAAAATTGAAAGCAAGAAATGCATCGTCAACATTTACAACTACGCACTAGTAATGTAGTTTTAATAAAATTAGTTTTAATGTTGATTGAAACTGTTAAATAAACAACTCGTTAAACTAATGGTTATTTAAGTACATTACGCAATATTATTTTCTGTTTTCGAACAACGTTTACGCTTGTAAAACACTAATTTCTTGATTAATTATTATTTACATTTAAAGTTGAGTTTTTAACAGGCGAAAAATCATGAATTGCATTCATTTAAGCGATTTGTTTGCTCATGCACAATTGCACATAAACTAATTTAGTGTTCTGTTGATAACTCAATTTGCAAAACAGAAAATTCAGTTATCTGATTGAACCCAGAGCAATAAATTTCCAATAATACTGCCTTCAATTCGTACATCGCGTTCAACTTTCATCAACTCCAGTGCAAATGTAATAAAACAAAAAGTGTCCACTCGACAAATTTATACATCCAGCGATAGATTAAAATATTCTGATCATCGTTTTCGCGCATTCAACAAAATTTAATGAAAGATTTTTGTAAAACGAGCAAAAAAGTATTACATTATTCACGTAATCGTTTGTTCTGTTTTCTGTCGATACAAGAAATAAGAAACAAGCAAACACGCGTCGATTATTTAATAATTTGTGCTTTAATCGAAAAAAAAAACGCTTTTCAAAGGAATTCAATCTCCGCGTGCGCACACACACACTTTGAAACAACGATTAAATGGTTATCTGTTTGCCGCTTACTCAGCTCAACGGGTCGAACGAAAGTTTTATTATAATTTTTGCAAATGAACTTACAATCGGGCGAGCGCGCGAAGTTGGAAGCGATAATTAAATTCTGCGCACAACATTACTCACAGTCGTTGGAATGTGTATGTACTGTAGTGGTAGGAACTAGGAGGCAAATTGCACGCTGAACGATTTAACTCGTTTTATTCATAATTGTGTTGAGTATGTGGGCACTAATGTGATTATTACGTTTGTTCTTTTGCGGAGCGTAAATCTGTCTGCGTGTGCGCAAAATAACACCAACTTTGGCTTTATAGTTTTCGGGTGTGTAAAGTTGTTAAAGTTTTATGCTGACGCTAATAATTTAGCAAAACCCCGCGCGAGTTTGACGTGTGCGCTTGTATTACGATTGCAACTGGATCAGAGAGATGTGGGCGAGTGTGTGTCTGCTATTAGGTAATAGTTTGGTCGACGGGGCGGGCAAAGTGCATTAACGTACGGAGATTACAATACGCGCAATGGTAATATGATAATCTGGTGGCGCACCGGTGGGCGGCTTATTCTCGACTTGCTTGACCATCCTAGATAGTGGCTAAAAAAAACAACACACACGTATAATTCACATGGGAAATTATTTTAATGGAGTTTGACATTAGTTTACTACGCATGCGCATTGACACATATACTTAACCTATAATTTACTCATGTGGGCGGAGCAAATAACCAAAATTTTCATTTAAATAACCGTGAAAATAGGTTAATCCTTATTTCAAGTGAATAAATTTATTGAAAAATCATTGAATTTGTAATTTTACGATTTGATGTCAAAATATTATGACGTTTGTCTCCTTGTAACCGCTTAAGTTGCATACCACAGATTTTAATTAAATTGGTTGAATGAGTTATGAGCGCTCACCTCGTGTTGTCACCACAAATCATTCGATGTGATTTATTAGTTTGTGTTCAGCGAAATGGCATTAGTATATTATGACAACAATAAGAGAATAATAATAAGTAAAATACTTTTCATAAGTACAAATAGGTACAAGTAAAGTTTTGAATGTCGAATAACAATTTTAATTAATTTTATTCCAAAGTCCTCAAAATAAATATTGCGTAGCTCACTTTGTTGTTTATTTTACACTCGAAATCACCACTTTGCCCCACTTAGTGCAGTGTACACCCACGCCGCCATAGTCTCCATGGCAAAAAGGATGAAATAAAGAGGAAAATCGGCGCCAGTTGGATTTCGGTCAATAAGTCGAAAACACTATTCTCGTCGTCGAGTTTATTCACTATCCTCGCCATCCTTTGCGCTCGCCCAAGTATTGTATAAATATACAAAAAGAATGCGAACGATGCGACGTTGGGTGCGGAGGAGGCGGCGGCGGCGACGGCGGCGAGCGCTGCGCTTTGGCGCGTACAAAAACTGCGCGACGGAGAAAAAGAGGAGAGAAACGTCGCGCCAATTTATTCGCGCACGATGGCCGAGCGGGCAAAACTCTTACTTCTTATCGCGTCATATATCGAATGAAATTGAGAGAATGGATGCTGTGTTACAGATAAATTAAGGAACAATAGCGGGCGTGAAGACACCAGTGCCGAGAACAGATAATGCGGAAAAGATGCGCGCAAAGACAACGCGAACGAAACCCCCAAGAAGGGATTACAATCAGCATGATGGCAGTGATTATTCTTTCAAAGTCAAATAATCGAATTACACTTTAAAAACAAAACAATGCGAATTATTTTAAATCGTTTTTTGCAATTGAAGATAAATTTATGTACGAAAAATAAACGAATCGTCGCATTATCAGGATTGTTGAAAAGTATGTGTTTTATTACGAAGGTAGAGGGTAAATTGCTGTACATTATAATGCAATCAGCGATCGCCAATGTACCGGTGCGCTCAAGTTGCTCCAAAATTACTTTAGCAACTTTTTCCATTATATTATGTACCCGTCAATTCTGCGCATTTTGCATCTAAACGAATTCGAGCAGATGTCTGAAGAAATTTGAAATCTGACGGCGTGCCAACTATCAATCGGAATCAAATTTAATAGCACGTTAAAGAATATTTTAATATATACAAAGTGTTCAAATAAAAATCAAAACTTTTTGAAGTCATTTTCTGGCAATTTTTGATTATATTATTAAAATATTCTGCGTGAAAATAACCCCGGATCGGTTATCCCTCCAGCCGGGCTTTATTGCATTGTGCGTCGAGTGTAAACAACCCATTGACTTTTATTCACTGTATTCAACCCTATTCACCCGTGGCGGCCGTATGCCCAAAGAAACGTGAAGTAATTGATTAGTTCGTTCGGTCAGCAGCGAGCGAGCTTTCATCGCTTTTAGTTTTGCCACTACAATATTAGTCAATGCCTATTTGGGTTTTTGTAGCCCGACTGCATACAGCCAAACATAATACAAACGCACAATCATTGCGTTGCGTAATATAACGCGGTTAAACTTGACTTTCAGAAACAGGCGGTGGAGGCGCCGGGCTCGTAAACGCAATAGAGATAGATTAAGAATCCGTACAAAAGCGCCCTTCAAGCGATCGGCGGGACGAAAGGAACACGCTTCGCATCGGCATCGACATCGACGGCATGTCGAAACAATCGTTAGCAGTGCGAATTCCGCTCTTTTTGCTCTAAGCTTTCGCTGAGTTCTTTTTTTTCGCGCAGCAAGTATTTTCCACTCTATTCCCTCTTGCATTATTTAACTCGGTGACGTCGCGTCACAGCCAGAGAATACTTTATTTTGCTGTGTAAACACAATTGATGTGTAACTGTCTTGCAAACAAACGAAATTAATTGTTATTTTAGCAGAAACTCAAACCGTGTGTTTATTATCTTAAACGTCTCATAATAAACAATGTATATTAATAAGCGTTCGGTGTTTTTGCTCAAAGTTATCATGAATATGAACTATGCAAGTTTAAGTTTAGTGCTTCCAGCTTTTTAATTATAATTTACATCCAATAAGGTTAAAATAACAGCTTTAAACTTGCGGCGAATTTCGAAGCCAAGGATTCGGAATTTGCAGCGCGTAGCTGACGTGCATAATCAATACAATTATGACACATGCAAACTTTAAAGTAAAATAATATATTTTGCTACGCATGACCTAATTTTATATTATATCTAAATTTTATGTATTCTCTCAGGCACATGTTTTTAAATGTTTGGTTAAGTTTGCATCAAAGGAACGTATTAAGATAACTTAATTAAAACGCGCAGCCAAGGTTAAGGTACTATCTTATCTTATTGTACATTAAATTTGCATCATAATTGCTCTCTTATTTCCGGTGCTGTATATGTTTCCTGTCCTGATGAGCGCGAGTGCTCGTTTCGCAATTACAGCGGCAGTTCGGCGCCACTCGCGCAGCCTTTTCGGTTACAATTCCACAGTGTACACAAGATACAGGATTTGCAAGGATTTCCGACATCAACATTCGTGAAATATCTGAGAAATCATCAACACTTGGTATACGCGGCCATTACCTACTACAAATTGAAATTATTATTATTATCTAGTAAATAATTTACGGATGAATCTCTTCTAATGCATTATTAAGAACATTTCAACCTATTTATTAGTTTCAACGATGGATAATTTCAGTTGTGTGGCATAATGAGATATTATACAATTTAGAAGTGTTGGTTATGTGTTATAAATGCGATAAAAGGATAAAACTTGAATGTGAGAAGGGGTTGATGGCTTTATTTGCATAATAAAAGAGATTTGCGCATGAATTAGAAATGTGTGACAAATTCGCAAAGATTGCTATTATTGCCCTTTGGCATAAATCAGCTCCAAGTCGTAAAATAATTTTGCGCAATTATTTTATTGTCAGTAAATAAAATATTCATGATTAACGAAAATTTATTACTGTAAATGTACCAAAATATACAGTGTGTTATAATAAAACAAATTTTTTTTTTTATATTTGTTTGTTATGTGAACATATTGTTGTGATGTGAGTATCTTGCGTTAACATGTACCACACAAACAAACTCGTATATTATTAGGGATTACATACAAAAAATGAAAAAAAAAGCAGAAAAAAATATCATGCGCGTGAGGGCGGCACACGTCCACGGCGCTAGGTGGCATTCTAAATTCCATATAATTTTTTGTTTCGAGCGAGAAATATGCGTCCGAAAAACGCAATAAATTTTCATATTTCCATCATTTCGCGTGCGTGTTTTGTAATATTGCGCCCACAACACCGCCAACACCACAACGCCAACGCCAACGCAACTTTCGGCTCTAGGGCAGTGCGGCGTGATTGCGACTTTATCAAGGGAAATTACGCCGAATTCAAAAAATTATTTAATTCTGTGACTTACCCTCAAAAAACTAGTATTTATCGCTCCCTTTCAGAAAATAAATGATGTATAAAGGCAATTTAATTAATTGTAGGCCTTTTAAAATTTACTCCCACAACTTTCTTTGAGTTTTCTTTTTCTTTAAGATGAGACTTCTTCAGAATTAAATCCTTTGACGCGCGCGCGTTTAGTAAGCACAACGTTTAAACATCGCGCTCGCGCGCCAGTTTAATTAATCAAACGCACTTTAATTGTTCCTAAATAGCGGACGAGCATCGACGACGACGAAGCCGCGAGAGAGGTTCGAGCGCGCGCGCGGCGTGTGAATGGAGCGAGCGGCGGCGGCGAAACGCGCGTTCTGCCGACGAATGTGCGACTGAACGCCACACAACCAACGACGGAGGTACGTCGCGGCCGCCTCCGGACGCGCGCCGCTATCTGTTCGCATTCCGGGTGGCGCCGACGTGAGATGGAATCGGCAGTTTGGCAGGCGGCGGTTCAAGTGACGTCTTCGGTTTTTGCACGCGCAAGCCGTGCTTAAGGACATCGATTCCCCTGGCGTGCTGACGCGTCGAAGATGTGTCAGTCGGAAATCGCGGAAGCCGGATGTCAGTGCAAGACCTTCGACAACTTATCTTTGCGGAAGCCACGCATGGTTTATAATTTTAATATTTTACGCAAAATTTTTGTGAAATTTTTATTTTTTAAGTTTGTCTACACGAATCAATAGTAATTGAAATCAAGTGTGTCTGCCGGAAAATTGCTTGATCAGCATGCGTCAACTGCCTGACTAGACTAGACTGCAATTTTGTTCGAGATATCAGCGTAATATACTGGATCGATGCATAAAAAACTCGGTTGAAAATTTTCACATATTTTTACAAGTTTATCCACGTAGAAAATGCACCGAAAAATATTTTTACATTTTCATTATAAAATATTAATTAATATATTTAATTTTAATTTAAAATTTAATGTTTGCAACAATACAAATGAATAATTTAGCAATAAATCAATTTGAGTCTAATAAGTCTGGTTTGCAACACTCAATTTTTAATTGCAACGCAAATGGTTTGAATAATTAAATTTATGGATGTCCGGATGAAATATCTTCGGCGTTTAGCGCAGCGGCAAGCGGAACAGACGTTGAACATCTCGGCTGTCTGCGGCCGGGAGGCGGCGGAGGCTGCAGCGCAGGTACAATGCCTTCACAGCGCAGCGCGCATTATATCATTCACCCCGTTCATTTCATATATTATTATAATGTGGAAAACATGCTTTCCGCGTATTCATCGTGGCGAAGAACGCGCGGAATTTTCATATTATTATTAATAGTATTAAAACGTTCACGCGCACGCCGATGTTTCAGCGCGTCGGGGGCGAACGCTTTCGACTTTTGCTGAATTCGCGTTTTCCAATTATGTTCACTCAAGTCTTGTGAAGCGAAAATTAAAGTTGTAGACGTTTTGGTATTTAGCACAAATTATTCAATACATTCTAGGCTTCTTTTTCGTAAAAAGCAAGTAATTATTATTGTTTTCAATAGGCGGATATTTTGTAGTTACATTTCACGCCGGTCCAAACACAAAACCGGCGTGTTCCTAATAAACTTTTAGTTTTACTTCAACAAACACGTAGCAGTTGTTTTGTTGATGGCACAATAAACGGTAATGTTTGAGCGCTGCGAAGTTATCCTTTTAAGCTGGCGTTTTCTGTTATTTCACGGCTTGTATCATACCAACCAGGCCAGTGGAGCTCCACGGCAGTCACTCCACCTCTTTCCGCGGATGCTGGCGTGCGAACCGTTCACCCGCATAACTGCGCCGAGCGTAAGACACGAATATTACGCCAAATTGTTCGCCCGACGCTGCTCGCGCACGATGCTCTTATTATATTCAGGTGTATTGTTGTGCACGCAGACGTGCGCAATTTAAAGTCGACTGCGCGGCCAAGAAAAGCGCAAAACACATCGCAAGCGCGCCCACATGCGTTCGGACCCAGAGCGCTGAGAGCGACATTTCGAACGCGAGGATTACGCGATGCTGCGATAGCAATATCATCAGCAGGTTCACGAGCGCCACCAAAATGCAAGAATGAATTTACATAATGGCTGGAATATTCATCACCAGCCCGCGAAAACAAACAAATATATTTAATTAATTTTATTTATTAAAAAACTTTCCGTTTTGCTAATTTTTGTCTTTCTATATTTACGTTGTGTTAATTTATATTTCGAGATTACAAAACCCGAAAATAAAATACGTACCATCAAAAATAACATTGTACAAAATATATATCCGACGCTGAAAATTGCTACTTGAGGTAGAGCTGTGGAGGCGCCGGGCTAGCGCGCGTGCTTTGAGGTCGGCCGGCGCAACTGGACATTAGCCCTCTAATTTTTGCACAGCCGGTTTTCCACTCCGCGGCTCGAAATAACATCACGCGCTGAAAGGATATTTCGCCCGCTTTCGCACCCGCAAACGCATTGATTCGTGCAACTGTGACTCTCCTTTGACTCGCCAGCTTTTCTGACGCTACTTTTACACAAACCCACCGAGCAATGCGGGTTTTAACGGCCATATCTAACCCTGCGGTTTGTATTCAACTGCTGCAACATATGCTAACAATATTAGCCGCCTAACTTTGACATGATGCATGTCTAGCATCGCCTCACGCTGCGGTAGTTGCAAAGTGTCGGGGCTATCATGCAAGTTTATCAAATTTTCGAAAGTAGTTAGTCTATTTAGACGCGTTTCCCAACACTATAAATTTTAATTTAAACCGTGTGCAGAAAATAATTGAAAATATCCATGGATATAAGAAGAAAGCGACCGTAATCAGAGACGTGGCGAAAGATGCCGACGCTCCAGGTTAGGAATGCATTGTTCGTATTGATATCAAAGGCGTCCGTGGCTTGCTATTTTCTCTCTTTGCGGATGAATGCGCGCGGTGGCACTAGACGCAAATGAAACGGAACCATAAGGAATACATATTACAATGGGCTTGCTGGCATATAGAAAGATAGACGGATGGAAGAGACATATCAAGTTATACGGATCTGTATAGAGATCTCAATAAACCACCCACCAACCCAAGAAAACATCAAAGAACCTGTTTGAAACTCGTATAACCACAAATATTTACTAAACAAATAAAAAAATATACCAAAATTTTACTCGTTTGTCAGAAAATTTTAGTTTTAATTAAATCGCGATGTTTTTTTATAGTTTATAGGTTAATTTCGGAAGTTATCGACAACAGACTGTAGATGAAATGTTCCAAGGTGTCTGCGTCTCATGTGCAAAGCATCACTTTGTAGAATTTAATCAATGCAACACGGTACGAGAGGCCTTTCTTGTCCGATCGAACACACCGGCGTGCGCTGGACGTTTGAGCGAAATATCAAGCATTCACTAGACTACCTAGACTACTAGAGAGAAGAGAAAGCGACCGGTGTGGAGCAATTGCGTGCTTCGATTCCTCGAAGCGATTGTCCAACTGTGACACCCACCCCTCATCACCCAATATATACCTCTTCGAATAAAAGTGAGTACCATTCATTCACTTTCATAGAAAATTTGTTTAGCGCAAAGTTTACTCACGTTCAACTTTATTTACACCGGGTAATAATAATTATTTATTCTCTCTTTGCTCCTTTCATCCATTAACATGGATGCTGCTGGTGTTGGTGTGTTGGTTCATTCACAACAAAATTGATTAAGCGATCGCGAGCAGCACGCGGGCGCCCGCCACTTAAAGGACAGATGATAAAGTTTTAGGAGGGCTAATTAAGGCGGAGAGAAATATGACAAGGTCGCGCCCGATGATAAATGGGCTGCGGCGGAAGGAGGCTCTTATTGAAATTTATCGAACATAAAGAGAGGCCTATTAAGGACAACGGCTTTCCGAGATTCTACCGCAGGAGCGCGCTACTGTTTCCTTTTAGTGTTTTAGCCCCCCGCGTATAGACGGTATTTGCCTCTGAACACCAATGATAAAGCAGGATGGCTAATTAATTAACGGCACAGCGCTTAGCTTCGTCAATATATTTAATATTTAATGTGTTGGTTTTTATTATTACGTTTTTCATGTGTTTGAATGTAATTTAGGTCGGCGGAGCTTTCAATTTCCGTCATATTCTAACTTAAATTTTCGGTATACAGATAATTCGATTCCACGTTTAGGTGTGTGCCTTGTTCGCGGGGCTAAAGCGTCGAACAAAACAACGCGTCTTGTTGTCTCCCGGTTTGAAAATTCAATTTCGTACTCGATTGCTTGTCCTCTCGTCCGTTTTCCACATAATTTCGTTCTTTTATGTCAAAAACAACTTTCGAAAGAAAAAAATTCAAACACCTTCATTGTCTCAACATTTAATATAACATAATAGGCGTAAATGTATTGTTAAAATTAAAAAAAAAGTTTTTATTTTATGATTTGGCAAAAAGTTAAATTTTATTTGGGTAACGTTTCAGTTATTGGATAATAAACATTCCGATGTTAAATCGAATTCGTGCCGGTTGTGCAATGACTGCCAAGGACAAGAACAAGAACAAGGAGACGCATATCTTGACACTGTAGCAATTATTATAGGCGAAGAGATTGTTATGGCTTAGTGGAGCAGAGCGACAGTCAAGAGTCGACCCTTTTGTAAGTACCTATTTTATAGTACTGATGATTGTCGCCGGCGATGTTTCAAGCGCAGCGCGCTATGAGAGTCATAAAGCTAAGGAGAATATTTACCGGAAGCTATTTCATCACTCTGTCACGCGTTGCGGGGCTACATGGTTTTTTATAGGTTAAAAGCGATTGCGTGGCGAATGCGACGTGAAGCCAACACAAACACAAAGGATTGTGATGAATGTTGTAAAACTATGAAATTATTAGCTATTAAAATTTAGTATTTTGGTATAGCAAGGATAAAAAATATGTTTTTGAATGTTGTACACATAATATTTTTTCGACCACTTCTCAAAAAGTCAATTCTACGCTGGAAAATTATATTTTAAAGTTTAAAAATTTAAATATTGAGTGACCTATAAAAATTACTTTCGATAAAAAGTAAGCTAAACTTTCTTACACATATTACACCCCCGTTCAATCCATATAAACGAAAAAGCGGTTCAATGTTCATCCCAGGCGGTAATGCGCGCACGCCACACACAATCGAAGATGTCAATCGAGAATTTATGTCCTGTTTGTCGTACGGGTATTAGGACATTGTGGTAGAGACGCCGACCGCCGTGTTCCGCTTTTCTACATTTTCACATTTCTCTATTTCCAGCCAAGGCTGTGCCCTTACACACACCGAAAGGAAAAAATAAAGCAATTGCATTCGCGCGCGTATGCCACAACGAAAAGTAAACGGAGG